TCACAACGAATGGCGCGGTGGTTGTCATTCTTTGCAGAATACAACTTTACGGTCGAGTACAAACCAGGACGACTTAATGTCGTCGCTGATGCACTCTCACGTCGTCCCGACTTTGAAACAGTCGCGAAACCCAACAGTGAGACAGTCACTGTTGCGGTTATGACGTCCTCAGTCCCATCTACAATGTTGTATGATGATGTGAGGCGGGCATACGCCCAAGATGGTGAGATAGTGAAGTTGTTGTCACATCTCTCCCAACCATCCCGAGAATCGTTGAAACGATTGTCGTCTCGCGTATCGATCTGCATCAGATCGATACACTACTCGTAACGGTTTACTGTATTATACAGCCGTTTCTGGTGACACACCACGTGTTGTCATTCCAGATGATACTGATCTGCGTTTGCGGATCATGTTCGAGTATCACGATGCTCCTATAGGAGGACATCGTGGCCGAGAGAAAACATATCTCACGGTAAGTCGAGACTTTTACTGGCCCCGCCAGTATCAGTTTGTGCGAAAGTATGTTCGCGCATGCGAAGTCTGCCAACGAGTGAAGTCAAGTCCTTCACTGCGTGCACCTTTACAGCCTCTACCGGTTCCGGCTGAGTGCTGGGAATCCATCTCAATGGATTTCGTCTTCGGGTTACCCAAAGACGCACGCGGGAATACGGGTATTCTCGTATTTGTTGACAGATTCAGCAAAAATGGTACACCTTGTGGCTGTACCAGAGACAATCACGGCAAGTGGCTGTGCTTGTGTCTTTATTGACACCATCTTCCGACTTCATGGGTTGCCCCGTGAACTCGTATCAGACAGAGATCCACGATTCACTGCTGATTTCTGGCGCTCCGTGTTCAAATCACTCGGAACGCGCTTGAAGATGTCAACATCTGATCATCCAGAGTCAGATGGTCAGACGGAACGTGCCAATCGTGTCCTTGAAGAGATACTTCGAGGATACGTACACTCCTTTAAGAGTTGGAGTGAGTTTTTGCCGATGGTAGAGTTTGCCATCAACAACTCGGTGCATGCGTCCACGACACATACACCGTTTTACGTGAATGGCTTGCGCCATCCGCGTGTACCCACCTTACTAGAGTGTAACTCTGGTTTAAGGGGGGAGGGACTCGCGCGAGCAAAAACCGATTTGGTTCACGCTCATCACGCTCTGACGAAGAAGTCATTGCGTTTGATGCCGATATCGATAACATCGATATCGAAGAAGATGATGCCAGTGAGAGTGCGGAAGCCCTCACTGAAGACAATGATCCCAGTGAGAGTGCGGAAGCCCTCACTGAAGAAAAGGTTGTTGTCGCTGCAGTGCGCTCACAGCACACTGAAGCTAACGAGTCATCAGATGAGTTCATACTGGCTCGTGAAACGGTAGTCCGTTTTGTGCAAGACTCCATCGCCGAAGCGGTGGATAAGCAAAAGCAAAACGCTGACAAGAATGGAAGGGCAAACACTCTTTTATTTAATAAAGGTGACTTAGTCCTACTGTCTACGGTTAATCTACCAAAACATGTAGTGACTAACTTGGGTAGCAGTAAACTACTACCCAAGTACATTGGCCCATTTCGTGTATTGCACCGCCTAGGCAATGCATACACGATCGAGTTACCACGTAAGATGCGAACGCATCCCACGTTTTACGTTGGTCGGCTTAAGCCGTACCATCAGTACGCTGCTTCTTCCGATGAAGAACGCCCTTGCGCTCAAGCATCTCGCAGAGAGCCTTGTGCTCCCGATGGTGGGCATCAACAAGGGTCTGAAGAGCAGTTATCTCAGCCCGAGACCGATCAACAATCCCACGAGCTACCCTTAGCTCGTCACGAAGAGATGTCAGAGATCTCTCGTTCTCAAGCTGAGCAAAGGCAAACTCAGCTCGATGCTTCGAGGCAGTGTCCACCATCTGGAGACGCCTATTCCGCTCATGCTCGAGATCGTCGCGTAACCCTTGCGTTACGCGATCAAAGAAGCTCTCGGGAACACACCGATCCACATGATCGTGTGGAGAGCGTCTTTCCTCCTCCTCCACCTCCATTAGAGGACTCTCGCGGTGGCCAGCGCTATCTAGTTGAGCAGCTGTTGAACCACCGCGACGTGAACGGACGTCGGACGAGTTACCTCGTCCGGTGGCGCGGCTATCCCACGTCCTGGGATTCTTGGGAGCCCCGCTCCCAATTGATGGTTGACGTACTGGGTCTGGTCGAGCAGTACGACGCGGCACATCCTGTGCCGCAGAAGGACCGCCGGAGAAAGTCTTCCCGGCACGGTCGTAAAGGGATTTCAGGTTGTCAATCCATTCGTACATCTCAGTAGAGACACGTACGCGCCACCACGGGCTGGTAAGGAGGTAAGCCTCCTTAGGTGCTCGTGCAGAGTTGTTCACACAACATGGGCACGAGTCTCCCCAAGAGAGGCAGGGTAATCCTTTCTCCCTTGACAGACGATGCAGCTTGTAGCGTGCACCTGTGGGGGTTCGCTTTTCAAACTTATCACGAGCTTTGATAAGTTTGTCGTTCCAAGCGTCACGACCTACATCCTCGAGGTTATGGATGTAGGCGTTCCACGCCTGAAGTAGTGAGGGACCATCACGTTTGTGATTCCCACTGTACCATCGATGTCTGAAGAAAGCATCGATGAAGAACTTCATGTTCAGCGCGATAGTCTTTCGCGCTGGGGTCAAGGTGATGGATCCCTTGACGAATCGAACAATCGTGTTCGATAACGATCACTCGTCGTCGCCGACAAGTGATCCATGACGGATTTTGGAGGCATCCATGCCTTCTTTTCTGGAGCGAGACGCAACACATTGCGGTCCCGCTCTTCCTGCGACGTGCCGACAGAAGTACTGGCACCTCGCTGTGAAGTGGTGTCCATTGGAGAACCGACACCACTATTAGCGCCCGAGTCTCGCGACCTCGAGCGCCTTCGCTTCGGCGATGGTTCATCTGACTCATCAGATGAACCAAAGATGCTGCGACGCAAAGCATCGTCCATGCCACGCTTGGCAGGCGGCTTAGATTCAATCGCCGTCGATACGGATCCGTCATCCGTATCAGGAGAGTACGAGACACCGAGCTCGTACTCTGTGAAGACACGAGTGTCTTCATGACCAGCGCCTGCGTCACCAAGTGACACAGGCTGGGTCTCTTCAGCAACCGATGAGACATCAGTTGCTGTTGTTTCTGCTTCGGCGTCCGCACAGAGACGTGCAGACGCGCTCTCGGCGGCCTTGCTCGCGCATCGCATGGGCTTGTTTACCATGCGATGAAATGTTGGAAAGTGGACGCGGACCAACAAGTGCAAACCCTGTCCCAAATGATTTGGGACGAGTATCCATTTAGTCAATCAGTCACTAAAGTGACTGATGGTTAAGGGGGGGTGATGTAACGGGGTGAATCGTTACATAACAATTTATAAGAAATTGTTAATAGAATATAACTATAAGAGTTATATTCTCAGAATATTGTCATAAGGACAATATTCGGTAGCACTTCCAAGTAGTTCCTAATTGGTTGATATAGGCCATTATATCAACCAACGAAGACGCGCCACGACAGACGCACGCAATGAGTGGTGAGCAGATAACTGATTTACACATTTGTATTTAGACATAGTTAGATGAAGATAAATAGTGATTTATTGCAGACATTAACTATACTAAATACAGTTCTACTTTTTACTCTAACCAAGTACTCGCTTCTTCTTACCGTCTTCCTCTGCACGTACGAGTGTACGTGAAGTTACGAGGCACCGCCTTATTCTGTTATCAGAATAAGTAGCTTGTACTGTCACCAGTACAAGCTTCAGGGTGCCCCGTTACACATCAACCATAGATTGCCACCAATCGCTGCTAGACGCGCGCTATGAGTGATGAGCAGGTTGTCGTCGTACGACGGCGTCGTTTAATATAGTTGTATAAGTATCAAAGATCTATTGATAGCTTAACCATGTTAAATACAGTTCTCTTTTTACCTTTACTTAAACGAGTCGTTTAAGTAGAGTAGCTTCCTCTGCACGTACTAGTGCACGTGAAGTTTCGCGGCACCCCAAACAAAGGGTCCCCATTACAGAAGGTTACACCAACGTGCGGTCGGAACTGTCGTTAATTCCTTTGGAATGCACCGCCGTCAGTGGCTTACACGACGGTTAAGCACTACCTGGACGGCACCTTCAACATCGAACACAGTGACATGTGGACTGACTTTTTTTACGTCTTGGCTTTTCTCGCGGGTGGTCGTTATTGAGATCAAGCTTTTCCCCTCTACTATTAATCTTTTCATAGCCTTTGTCATGATTTTATTCGTCATGGGTTTCTCCAGTTTTGCGGCTGACTATTTGGCTGGAGTCGCCAGCAGACACTTGTATCTGCTGGTCGGTAGTTCCAGTGTAAACGGGAATTTCGCCTTGTACAGTATGCTCCAGGTCAGCGCGCGCACTGCTTGTACCGTTTGTCGGCATTTTGAGCCGAAGGACGATAGCAAATTAATGTGGAGTGGTCATGTAACGGGGTGAACCGTTGCATAACAATTTATAAGAAATTGTTAATAGAATATAACTATAAGAGTTGTATTCTCAGAATATTGTCATGAGGACGAATTTTCTGCAGCACTTACGAGTGGTTCCTAATTGGTTGATTTAGGCCATTATATCAACCAACGAAGACACGCCACGTCAGACGCACGCAATGAGTGGTGAGCAGATAGTTGATACGCACATTTGTATTTAGACATAGTTAGATGAGGATAAATAGTGATTTATTGACAGAAATTAACTATGATAAATACAGTTCTACTTTTTACTTTGACAAAGTACTCGCTTCTTCTTACCGTATTCCTCTGCACGTACCAGTGTACGTGAAGTTACGAGGCACCGCCTTATTCTGTCTTCAGAACAAGTAGTTTGCACTGTCACCAGTACAAGCTTCAGGGTTCCCCGGTACACCTGGTAGCACTTCGTAGTCCGTCCAAGAACCACGTTCACATCTAACATGAATATGTTAGATGATGAAGATGACCAAAGCTTTCACGCTACGCGTGACGGCTACTCCCATTCGAGCGATGTCGAATGGGATGCGGTTGAACGGATGGGTTCAACCATGGGCATCCATGCTGTTAGCGTCATGCTAGAGGCTCTCAATAGAGATGCCCAACATGCAACAATCGCCAAGTTCATTCAGAATGAACTTGACGCTGAACGCGAGAAAGTAGCCTTGCTTCACCAACAAGGTTCTCAACAAGCAGAGTTGTTGAGATAACAGGGTGCTCAACAGTTTGAACTGTTGAGGCAGCAGCAGGCTGCTGCTGGCGGGTCGATGCACTCGCGTCGACCCGAGACTTTGAAGATTGACATCTCAAAGTATAGGGGGAGTCGAAGAAGACTCCCTCTTGAGATGGTTCGTCGAATTGGATGACGCCATAAGGGCGCGTCGCATCGACGACGGGGATATGCAAGTTGCATTTGCCCAGTCAAATCTGGCAGGACGTGCCAAGACTTGGGCACTGGGGCTCAAGTTGCACGACCCATATGCGTTTGGGTCGTTGGAAGTCTTCAAGTCGCGGCTCAGACAAACGTTTGAACCGCCTAGAGCTGAGTTCAGAGCTCGAACTGAACTCTTGAAGCTCAAACAGGGTAAGCGTGATGTGCACGCTTACGCGCAACATATACGACATCTCACGAGTTGTATAAGTTCCAATCCGGTTGATGAACACACGTTGGTTTCGGTGTTCATGCAGGGTCTTGCGGATGGTCCCGTCAAGACTCACCTGTTCCGACTTGAACTAGATTCACTAGAACAAGCCATTTCCATTGCGGAGCAGGAAGACTTCAGTCTGAGACAGGCTCGCGCCAGCTCGACATCATATCGTCAACCGAGACGATATGACAGCGGAGGTCCAGAGCCGATGGAACTCTGTTATGTAGAGAGCGAGAAGGCTCGCTCTACAGGCTACAAGAAGTTGCAGAGATGCAACAGATGTCAAAAGACAGGACACTACGCTTACGAGTGTAGTGCCCCTCGTCCAGTGTCTCGCAACACTGGGCGTAGTGACCGTCCACCCATGAGAAAGGGGCAGGGACGCGGGTCCGCTGTTGGTGCAAAGACGCAACAACGGGATGGACCGTCAAAAAACGGACAGGATCAGTAGGTGCGGAGCACCCTACTGGTCCAGCAACGTCAAGAGAATTTGTAGGCCTCTTGATGAAGGTTGCTCCCAACACACAAACATTGTGCGTTGCTGCTCTAGGTAATGAGATCTCACTCATTACCTTGAAACTCGAAGTGACGAATAAGTTGTCCCTTCGAGCTCTAGTCGATTGTGGGGCGTCCAACAATTTTGTGCGACGCCAATCGCTAGAAGATGGTCACTTTAAATTCAGTGAATGTGACACACCTCCTACGAGGATGACGGTACGTCTTGCGACAGGCGCATCCGTAACCGTCATGAAGCGTATAGTGAAGATCCACTATACGCTAGAAGATACCCAATATGACGATGACTTTATCGTATTGGATTTGGATGACAAATTTGATGTCATCCTTGGAATACCGTGGCTCAGAAGGTACGAACCACGGGTAAACTGGCAACATCGAACAGTAACGATGCCTGCCGCTTGTTCATCAGATGGCCATCTGATGAACGTTTTGGAGCGTCCACAAGCGTGTGGATGTACTACGAGTGAGTGCGATGGCCTCACTTGTGGTACGGTCGTTAGTACGACTGCACAAAACCTTAGTGTAACAAACGGTTACACTTCGGAGCAAAGTTCCGGCGGCTGTGAGGGAAACACAGGCTGCGCCGAAGGTCCACCACTCGAATAAGTCGGGTGGACTGGGACAAAGATGTATCCCTAGCGGGGAACATCTCAGAAGAGAAACAATCGATCGCTCAGGTTAAGCGAAACGATAATCCTAGATCGACTGGAGAGTCTTTCGTAGAGGATCTCGCTGTGGTTGCGCAACCCCAGCTAGAGGAAGTAAAGGGAATAAGTCCCGATATTACAGATACGGCGGAAATAAGTTCCCCGAAACCCGAGGGAATAAGTCCCCGGGAAGCCGAAGGAATAAGTCCTTCGAGGCCTGAGGGAATAAGTCCCCAGGAAATGACAGAGACATTGAATGTCATAGTCAATAACGGATCAAGTGTAGGCGCTTATACACTTGATCTGATTGCGCCTCCGAAGTTGACTTCGGAGATCACTAAGTTGCCAACGCTTGAACATAGAAGGTTCTTGCGTGATCTGCGTAGTGGCAAAGTCAAGCAGATCTGCGTACTCGTCGCTGACGACGGGTGTGTAGCCGACATAAGATCAGCAACAGTGTTTACTGAGAACGAGAGAGTTCTCAGTAGTTCATCGATGGACGAGAGTGTCCTAGATGAAAAGACACGAATTGAGCGATATGACTCCCAATCGTGGGAATCTCTCAAGACAAATCCTCTCTATAAAGATTGGGTTGAATTCAAGGATGCATTCCCTGAAACTGTTCCGTGCGAGTTACCGAAGGATAAAGGTACTCGACACGAGGTCGAGCTTAAACCAGGCTCGAAGTACTGTGTCATGAAGCAGTGGCCACTGCCTCGTGAACAAGTACTTGCGATCGACAAGTTCTTTGCCGATCGTTTAGCTGCGGGCCATGTGAGGGAATCAACTTCCCCACATAGCTCTCCGACCTTCTGTGTGCGAAAAGCAACAGGAGGGTGGCGGATTGTGCATGCATTTAACAAGTTGAATGCTGCAACGGTACCGGCTCAGACGCCGATACCAAGGAAGGACGTAATCATTGATGGTATGTCAAAGAGTACCATCTTTTCGTCCATGGATTTGATGGATGGCTTCTATCAAATCCTTATGCGAGAACGGGACATACCCTATACCGCAGTTAGCACGCCTAGCGGCATGCTCTGGGAATGGCTAGTAATGCCACAAGGGCTTAGTAATGCCCCTGCCACGTTCAACAGATGTGTATCACATCTGTTGAGACCAGTACGAGAATTCGCGCCGAGTTATTTCGATGACGTATTCATCCATAGTCGGGCTATGGATGGAAAGTCGGATGTTGAGGTTCACAGGTACCACGTCCGACAGGTTCTTACAATCATGCGAAAGCATCAATTGTATGCAAACCTCAAGAAGTGTATATTTGCAGCAAGCGAAATACCACTTCTTGGGTGCATCGTTGGTAAGAACGGTGTACGTCCTGATCCCGAAAAGATCAAGGCGATCACCGACTGGCCTGTGCCGGTTGATGTCAAAGGTCTTCGAAAATTCCTCGGGCTAGCGGCGTCTTTGCACAAGTATTCACGCAATTACGCCGAGATGACTGTGCACCTCTCTCGTTTGTTGAAAAAGAACAGGAGGTGGTCATGGAACGCTGAATTTCAGCGCTCCTTTGATGGTATCAAGCAGAGCTTGATTAAATCCCCAGTCCTAGCAATAGCCGACCAGGACAGGCCATTTCATGTGGTCTGTGATGCCAGCGATTTCGCAATCGGCTGCGCATTAATGCAGTACGATCTTGAAGGCGTTGAACGCGTCGTCTGCTATCAGTCGCGTCAGCTGCAACCAGCTAAGCGGAACTATCCAGTGCATGACAAGGAACTCCTTGCCATGAAGTATGCACTCGCGAAGTTCAGAGTCTATCTATTAGGAGATAGACCCTTCATTGTTTACACTGACCATGCGTCGTTACGCACGGCAGTAAACAGCCCGCACCTTTCACAACGAATGGCGCGGTGGTTGTCATTCTTTGCAGAATACAACTTTGCAGTAGAGTACAAACCAGGACGACTTAATGTCGTCACTGATGCACTCTCACGTCGGCCCGACTTTGAACCAGTCGTGAAACCCAACAGTAAGACAGCCACTGTTGCGGTTATGAAGTCCACCATACCATCTTCAACGTTATATGATGATGTGAAGAGGGAGTATGCCCAAGATGGTGAGATTGTGAAGTTGTTGACACATCTCTCACAACCATCTCGAGAATCGTTGAAGCGATTATCGTCTGCGTATAGATCTGCATCAGATCGATGCACTACTCGCGACGATTTACTGTATTATACAGCCGTTACTGGTGACGCACCACGTGTTGTCATTCCAGATGGTACTGATCTGCGTTTGCGGATAATGTTCGAGTATCACGATGCTCCTATAGGAGGACATCGTGGCCGGGAGAAAACATATCTCACGGTGAGTCGAGACTTTTACTGGCCCCGCCAGTATCAGTTTGTGCGAAAGTATGTTCGCGCATGCGAAGTCTGTCAACGAGTGAAGTCAAGTCCTTCACTGCGTGCACCTTTACAGCCTCTACCAGTTCCGGCAGAGTACTGGGAATCCATCTCAATGGATTTCGTCTTCGGTTTACTCAAAGACGTACGCGGAAATACGGGTATTCTCGTATTTGTTGACAGATTCAGCAAAATGGTACACCTTGTGGCTGTACCCGAGTCAATCACAGCAAGCGGATGTGATTGTGTCTTTATTGACACCATCTTCCGACTTCATGGGTTGCCCCGTGAACTCGTATCAGACAGAGATCCACGATTCACTGCTGATTTCTGGCGTTCTGTGTTCAAATCACTCGGAACTCGCTTGAAGATTTCGACATCTGATCATTTAGAGTCAGATGGTCAGACGGAACGAGCCAATCGTGTCCTTGAAGAGATACTTCGAGGATACGTACACTCCTTTAAAAGTTAAGTGAGCTTTTGCCAATGGTAGAGTTTGTCATTAACAACTCGGTGCATGCGTCCACGACACATACACCGTTTTACGTGAATGGCTTGCGCCATCCGCGTGTACCCACCTTACTCGAGTGTTACTATAGTTTAAGGGGGGAGGTACTCGCGCGAGCAAACACCGATTTGGTTCACGCTCATCACGCTCTGACGATGAGGTCATTGCGTTTGATGCCGATATCGACAACATCGATATCAAAGAAGATGATGCCAGTGAGAGCGCAAAAGCCCTCACTGAAGAAAAGATTGATGTGTCTGCAGTGCACTCACAGCGCACTGAAGCTAACGAGTAAGCAGATGAGTTCATACTGGCTCGTAAAACGGTAGTCCGTTTTGTGCAAGACTCCATCGCCGAAGCGGTGGATAAGCAAAAGCAAAACGCTGACAAGAATGGAAGGGCAAACACTCTTTTATTTAATAAAGGTGACTTAGTCCTACTGTCTACGGTTAACCTACTAAAGCATGTAGTGACTAACTTGGGTAGCAGTAAACTACTACCCAAGTACATCGGCCCATTTCGTGTATTGTATCGCCTAGGCAACGCATACAAGATCGAGTTGCCACGTAGGATGCACACGCATCCCACGTTTACGTAAATCGGCTTAAGCCGTACAATTAGTACGCTGTTTCTTCTGATGAAGAACGCCCTTGCGCTCAAGCATCTCACAGAGAGCCTTGTGGTTCCGATGGTGGGCATCGACAAGGGTCTAAAGAGCAGTTATCTCAGCCCGAGACCGGTCATTATCCACACAAGCTACCCTTAGCTCGTCACGCAGAGATGTCAAAGCTCTCTCGTTCTCAAGCTGAGCAAAGGCAAACTCAGCTTGATGCTTCGAGACAGTGTCCGCCAGTTGGAGACGCCTGTCCCGCTCATGTTCGAGGTCGCCGCGCAACGCAAGAGTGACGCGGTCAAAGAGGCTCTCGGGGACACACGCTCCCCCACGATAGTTTGGAGAGCGTTTTCCCTCCTCCTACACCTCCATTAGAGGACTCTCGCGGTGGCCAGCGCTATCTAGTTGAGCAGCTGTTGAACCACCGCGATGTGAACGGACGTCGGACGAGTTACCTCGTCCGGTGGCGCGGTTATCCCCCGTCCTGGGACACTTGGGAGCCCCGCTCCCAGCTGATGATTGACGTACTGGGTCTGGTTGAGCAGTACGACGCGGCACATCATGTGCCGCAGAAGGACCGCCGGAGAAAGTCTTCCCGGAACGGTCGTAAAAGGATTTCAGGTTGTCAATCCCTTCGTACATCTCAGTAGAGAAACGTACGCGCCACCACGGGCTAGTAAGGAGGTAAGCCTCCTTAGGTGCGCGAGCTGAGTTGTTTACACAACAAGGGCACGGGTCTCCCCAGGAAAGACAGGGTGACCTTCCCTCCTTAGACAGAAGATGCAGATTATAGCGTGCACCAGTCGGGGTTCGCTTTTTAAACTTATTACGAGCTTTGATAAGTTTGTCGTTCCAAACGTCACGACCTACATCCTCAAGGTTATGTATGTAAGCGTTCCACGCTTGAAGCAGTGAGGGACCATTACGTTTGTGATTCCCACTGTACCATCGATGTTTAAAGAAAGCATCGATGAAGGATTCATGTTCGGTGCGATAGATTATCGCACTGGGGTCAAGGTGATGGATCCTTGACGAATAGAACAATGGTGACCGATAACGATCACTCGTCGTCGCCGACAAGCGATCCATGACTGACTTTGGAGGCATCCATGCCTTCTTCTCGGGAGCGAGACGCAATACGCTGCGGTCCCGTTTTTCCTGCGACGTGCCGACAGAAGTACTGGCATCTCGTTGCGAAGTGGTGTCAATAGGAGAACCGACACCACTGTGAGCAGCCGAGTATTGCGATCTCGAGCGCCTTCGCTTTGGCGATGGTTCATCTGATTCGTCAGATGAGCCAAAGATGCTACGAAGAGTAGCATCATCCATGCCACGCTTGGCAGGTGGCTTTATTTCAACCGCCTTCGATAGATCCCTCTTCCGTATCAGTAGAGTATATGACACCGAGCTCATACTTTGTGAAGACATGAGTGTCTTCATGACGAGCGTCTGCATTACTAGGTGATACAGAATGAGACGCTTTAGCAACCGATGACACATCGGTTGCAGCGGTTTCTGCTTCGGCGTCTGCACAGAGACGTGCAGACGTGCTCTCAGCGGCCTTATTCGCGCACCGCATGGACTTGTTAACCATGCGATGAAACTGATGGACTGTAGACTCGGAACAACAAGTGCAAACCCTGTCCCAAATGATTTGGGACGAGTATCCATTTATTCAATCATTCACTGAAGTGACTGATGGTTAAGGGGGGGGTGATGTAACGGGGTGAACCGTTGCATAACAATTTATAAGAAATTGTGAATAGAATATAACTATAAGAGTTGTATTCTCAGAATATTGTCACAAGGACAAATATTCTGTAGCACGTACGAGTAGTTCCTAATTGGTTGATTTAGGCCATTACATAAACCAACGAAGACGCGCCACGACAGACGCACGCAATGAGTGGTGAGCAGATAGTTGATACGCACATTTGTATTCAGACATAGTTAGATGAGGATAAATAGTGGTTTATTAACAGAAATTAACTATGATAAATACAGTTCTACTTTTCACTTAAACTAAGTACTCGCTTCTCCTTACCGTCTTCCTCTGCACGTATGAGTGTACGTGAAGTTCCGAGGCACCGCCTTATTCTGTCATCAGAATAAGTAGCTTGTCATCAGTACAAGCTTCAGGGTGTCCCGTTACAACTCTGAATGTTCATGCAGCGATTCCAGTCAATGTACTGGCGGACAATATCGTACAACTTGACTCGGTGTTGGCTCGCGCTGATCCTGGCCATCATCTTCGGCCTCGTATTGTCAACTCCGACTTCACGACGTACCAAGGGATGAACTCAGCCGTGGGTATCTTTTTCATGACAACAATGTATCAAGGATACGTGACGTACGTTGCTTGTCTGTCCTTGACCCTGCGGGAACGAGCCGTCCACTTCCGCGATTGCGACGCGCAGACGTACAACACTCTCTGGTACTCCTTCGGCATCTCGCTCGTCAAATTTACCTACGTCTTTGACAGCAGTCTCCTCTTCACCATTGTCTTTTTCCCTCTCCTCGGCATCTGGTCCATCAGCCCGGCTGTTCTACTGGCTCAACATCGGGACCGGGAGGTACCTGGATCGATACCCGGTGGGGGTTCGATTACAGGGCGCCGGTGATAGGCTAATAATGTAGACGAGCAACCACCAATGAGTGGCCGGTGCCGTCCGGAGGCCTTACAAGCCGAAAAGCCCCATAGTGTAATGAGGGGTGCGGGTCCTGTAAGGAGTTCAAACTGAGTCAGAGTACTCGCAGTTAACCCCAGGGTGATCTGAAGGACCGCGCGGCATAAATCTCTACTGGCTCAACATCTCCCTCTTCGTGCTCATGCAGACGATCCTGGGCCAGCGGCTCGTCTACTTGCTGTCCAGTGTAACGGGGTAGCCCGTTACATGAAATTGACACCAAACGGTATAAAAGGAAGACTGTCTAGCATGACAATTTTCTACCGACATTATCCGGGAAATATGCTATTGAAGGAATATTATCCCCTTTTGATAATATCATGCTCTGCTCAAAGATTGGTTGAAATAAGACGTATCAACCATAGATTGCCACCAATCGCTGCTAGACGCGCGCTATGAGTGATGGGCAGGTTGTCGTCGTACGACGGCGTCGTTTAATATAGTTGTATAAGTATCAAAGATCTATTGATAGCTTAACCATGTTAAATACAGTTCTCTTTTTACCTTTACTTAAACGAGTCGTTTAAGTAGAGTAGCTTCCTCTGCACGTACTAGTGCACGTGAAGTTTCGCGGCACCCCAAACAAAGGGTCCCCATTACAGAAGGTTACACCAACGTGCGGTCGGAACTGTCGTTAATTCCTTTGGAATGCACCGCCGTCAGTGGCTTACACGACGGTTAAGCACTACCTGGACGGCACCTTCAACATCGAACACAGTGACATGTGAGCTGACTTTTTCTACGTCTTGGCTTTTCTCGCGGGTGGTCGTTATTGAGATCAAGCTTTTCTCCTCTACTATTAATCTGCTCACAGTCTTTGTCATGATTTTCATCGTCATGGGTTTCTCCAGTCTGCGGCTGGCTATTTGGCTGGAGTCGCCAGCAGACACTTGTATCTGCTGGTCGGTAGTTCCAGTATAAACAGGAATTTCGCCTTGTACAGTATGCTCCAGGTCAGCGCGCGCACTGCTTGTACCGTTTGTCGGCATTTTGAGCCGAAAGACGATAGCAAATGAGTGTGGAGTGGTCAGCTTCACTATGCGAGTCATATAAAGCAAGTGTAAAGGGTGACATACAGGGAACTAATCAGTCAATGGTAGCTCTTTGATCTCCGCACCTCTGACCTTCTATATCTAGCATTATACAGATAAAACTTAGCTATTAAGCTAACTAGCTGCTCGTGAAAACGTTTGACGGTGTTTGCAGTACGGAATAGCAACATTCGTAGTACGGAATAGCCTCGCCCGCGTATCTGCTGTCACTCGTTTTGACTAGGTCATAACCTCGACGGATGAGCAAGCCATGTAATTTTGTGGAAGTGCTCAATGCTGATGCAGGTAACTCTGAACACACCTACGTATATTGCGAAATGCAGGATAACTCTTCGAAAACACCAGTCTTCATACTGAATACCCTACATGCCGCTCGGTCTATCCGCTTACCTTATTGCGAGCACGATGGGTGAAGCTACTTGTGACAAAGCTCAAGGTGAATGCCGAGCTCTTACAACCTACTTTTTGTCCATCTAATCGTGTGTCTATCGTGAACGCTGGGTGTATCTTACCACATAGAGTGCGATGTAGCCTGACCTTTCGTCATGGGTAGACATGCACTATCAATTTCACACCTTGATCAGGTCACTGCTTGCGACTGAGAAGTGTGTCAGCCACATTCGCACCAAACTTCGTACGGCGTAGCCGCATTCCACCCGAAACGAGCACGTCAATCTATAGGACTAGATTTTGTTCTCCAGGTTGATTTTCTTGTATTTGAACTACTTGCGTCAACGGGCGAGCTCTAGAGCTCGCTTCCCAATCAAACCAACTGATCAAGTAGGTCAGCGCCGTAAATCAGGCGGGCGATCACATCATGATCCGAATTCTGTTCCTGCGAGAGCGCTACTTTATGGACTGTAGGAAAGTATGCATGTTCACTGAGCATTTGACAACAAAGGAAGGTTGAGACGCACCAAGCACTTTCCGTAAATAAGGTCGGATTGAAAGACTAAGCGGCGATGTGTCCGTACAAAAATCTGAGGGTTCTCATGCGACGATGGAGACAGATGAGAGGTTGATAACGTGCTTACCGTTGACTTCTTTTCGCCATTGCAGCACAATACGATCTAGAAGACCTTCGTCGAGTGACTACACCTACCGACGAGCCCTAAACAAGAATGACGAAAGGCGGGCTCGATAGCATCAGGTCTTTTGAAACTGTGTCCGCAACGAAGGTTTGTCTCGAGCTTTAGAAGATCAGTGTGAACGAATTATGACCGATCTGTACCTACGTCAGCGAAATCGGCACACGCTTGCTCGGGCTCGTACGCGCATTTCCTAATCGTATGCTTTCGGGTACTCCCTGTCGTCTCGTCGAAATTACATTTGTGTGAACACTTTGAGAGCTCGTCATCGAAAGACTGCCATCTACCAGGACAGACCGTTTGGCACGGGTCGCGCAGCAACAAGTTTGCACTAAGTCCTGAATCGATGCAGTGCAAATACGTGAGTGAAGTACAAGTACTCGCGTCTGCAGAACATCGTGGCGAAGATGTCGATCAAACACACTGTGGTCTGGATGATGTTTGGTGGTACTTTCAATGAGATCAACCAACGTGGTCTTCACATATTAATTAAGTAACGAACGGTCATCGACACGCGACTTCTCACCCAAACACATTCTTAATCAAGTGATGGTCGATCGGCTATAACGTTCGACGGTGTGTTGCTGGGTCAAGGCATTCGAAACGAGGTTCGCACGCGTTGCACCCACGCTTTCAATAGCCTCAACCCAGCAACAATTTCCGTCGGTCTTGGCTTTCCTGTCTGAAAAGTGCAGCCTGAGGCCGTTTTCCAGCAGGAGAGGGTCGTTTTGTAGCACAGGTGGGATTAATTGATCTATTACAGACAAAAGAGACTGCCAAAGCTGGACTTTTTCGTGTGGCGGCGGGTCAAAGCTTTCGATGCAGTGACCCTTTTTAAGGAAGAAAAAAAAATGGGTCTCGCACAAGTATCCATTTGCAGTGTCTCGATATCGATACAGTCCGTAATCAACAGCTTTAGCGCACAAGTGAGCTATCACCTTATTCTATACCAATTTGAATCTTATCGCTCGCTCTTTTCCCTAATCTACAGGCTCAGTACAATCCAATCTGTGCTGTCAACATGTCGGAAGCGGCACAGCTGGACGCTTTCTTGGCGGCCATGACGCAGTACGCGCCGACTATCCCTGACGAGCTCGTTGATTTCTACCTACAGCAAGCTGGCTGTACCACGAACGACGTGCGCGTGTACGTCCCGATCCCTATTTTATCGTCGTCTCTAACGTGTACCGTATAAAAAAGTGACTTTTTATTCTGTGCCGTAACTGTCGCCCTTATAGTACGCGTCTCGTCTCGTTAGCAGCCCACAAACTCCTGCTGGACGTGACCCACGATGCCATGCAATACCATCGCATTCGGTCACCATCGCCAACCGTGTCACCACTGGCCGTCCAGCTGTCGGACGGCACTTCTTCAACTGGCAATCGTGCAGTCCTGACGATGGAAGACCTGGCTGCCAGCTTGAAGGAGTACGGCGTCAACATTTGCCGACCTGAGTACATGAGCAACGTCGCAGAGGATCCGACACTGTAGCAAATGAGCAAACACTCATCTACACAAACAAACATCAAGAGTGGAAAGAGACGAGATGTTCGACTGGCAGGTTGATGACCAACTTGAACACGTCAAAGTTGAAGTCGTCGTCTTCGTCGTCGTCACTCTAGAGCTCTTCGTGTTCGTCTACAGACTCGTCCGCCGCACGATTGAGTCTCTCTTCCTTCTCCATCTCCTTGGCACCCGCGTCAAGATCTCGAGCAATGCTGTCAACAAAGCCTAACTCTTCCAGGTCCAATTTGAGCGCGTCCGGGTACCTCTTCAGCAGTCGCAGGAACAAGGTGTGTTCCCGCCCCTTGTACTTGGCTAGTAGCGCATCAAGCGCCTTGTCCGAGAGCTCCGCTTCCGAAGCGCCATTCACTTGGAGAAAGTATTCAAGACGGTCGCGTGTAGCAGCTGCCACGTCTTTCGGTGACACGCAGTCGCACGCTTTTTTCTGTGCATCGTGGAAAGCTGGACACCCCATCATCTGTAAAGTGTAGCAGCGAATCGGCCCCCACCGACAACAATAGTAACGGGAACAACAATTGGTATCATCAGTTTGTAGCATACAGCATCAATCATTGACAAATTGATGGAAAAAGACGCACATTTGCGGTAATGTATAGGATACGGGCAGCCGAGAAACAGTCGAGACGCTGTGTGGGGTCCGCCACCTCGTCGCATTTCGCCTTCATGCACGTTCGAAAGCGGTTTTCACAGTTCGCTTTTGGCATCCCGCACACGCTGTAGCACTGCACGGTAATAAAGCAGAATTACCAGCGATTTAGGGCAAAAAAGTAAAAAACTACAATCAAACCAGATACGAAAAGCAAAAAAAGCTACACGATACCGCGTCATGCCAATTACAGCACTCTATAATTTCTAAATTAGCTGTGACGGGCATCGACGTGCCGCAGCCATTGGCTGTAAACTCAAAGTCTCTGTCAACCATTCCAAAGAGTGATACTATAGTTAGAGGGAGGGAACCGCGTAATGTATTTGTTTGCTGCATCACGAGTAACTTACTTGAGCGGAGCCACGACCCGCTTCGGCCTACAGGTGTAGGGTTCACATACTTGAGTGTATTTGCCCAAGTTTGGAAAATCATCTGATGCAGATACACTGACGACTGACAGCGAGAAGCAGAGCAGCAGCGGACGTGAGAGGACCATTAGGGGGACGGTAAATTACGCGCGGACCAAAGTTTTAGCTTTCTAAAAATGCCACGTGCGAAGCGACACGAAGTCCGACTTTGCGACACCAACGTTCTAGAAAAAGAACTGGTATCATACCGGTACATACATGCAACACGACTCCACAGCCGTAAATGTCAAGCTGCGCTTGATGAGCAGTTTGACAAAACACGTCGAGCAATAAGAAACAGGATACACGAAGCGTAACTGTCACAATCGAGCTCCTACATCAGTACGTCTGCTTGTATACGCATCTCCGACCCCCCCCCTCCCCGAGTATACGTCGCCACCACCAAGGTCACATCTCCATTCGTCGGACATCCATCCAGCAGCAGCAGCAGCACATGATCCGATCCAATCAATCGACGTCTCCTCGTCCTATCACAACTATACTTAAACCTTAACGAGCACGTTGCCATCACTTCAACGTGGGTATTTATTCATTCTAAACGCCCATTCCCAATTCCCTACACATAACGTCCGCCCTCCAGCTGCTGCTTCCCATTCGCAGCAGCTCGTCCCGTGCAATTGCCGCCGCGTCACTTTGCACGACTTTGTGGATGCAATGCGAGCACACGGCTCGTTTGTTCTGATGAATGGACGAGAGGTCCGGGGCGAGGACGAACACGCGCGTCTTGACATAGCAACGCGAGCACACGGCGTGGTCGCAACTGTTGCAGAACTTCTTCCGTCCTGGTAGGAAGCTAAAGCTCTTGGCACAGACACGACACGTAGGAGTCGTGCGTTTCGACTTGCACGGCAGTGGCAGCGTAGAAACCGGGGTCACTAGGGCCATGTCCATGTTGAAGTTGTTCTGCCGCAAGTACCACGCGAGCTTTTTCATGTGCGCACACTGCATGTTCCTTGAGAGCGAGAGCCATTGCGTGGCGATCGCCTCGAGCGCGAGCACGGCGTTGCCATGCGTGGACATGTCAAAGAACCCACGCGTGTAGCACTCGACCGTGTTGTTTGCTTTCTGGTGGAACAGCGAGCACACGGACATGTTGCCTCGGGTGATGCCGAGCTCCGTGAACGCCGGTAGTTGGGGGAACCCGACCGAGTGCGAGACGCTGTAACCTACGCGCTCGCCCCATGGCGTTAGCATCGTCCCTGCTGTGTCGAGAGTCACGTAGTCACAGTGTTCGTAGAGACGCCATTGCAGACTCACGTGGTGGAACGGATCGTCCGCTGTAGGACAGACAAGCTCACCCAGTACTTTGCTGTCCACGACGCCGTCTCGGATACACGACGACTTGATCTTGAGCGATTCGTCCGTGAGGGCGACAGCAGCATACATTATGTCGTCGAGGGTGCCGGTCACTGACCCGAGAAGGAGCAAGGAAGGGATTTCCGGGCTCGCCTTGCGAGCTGAACCCGGGCGTTCTCGGTAGATCCGAAGACCTTCAGCTTTGCGTGTGGGTTTCCAGACCCGAGCATCCGGGTGTCCGTCTTTCGAGATGCTCAAGCTATTGTACTGCTCCAGGTCGTGGGTAACGAGCGTTGTTGCGAGCTTTCGTAAGAGGGTTTGATCGGAAGGAGGGATCCGGAGAGCTGGGAGGAACTTGGAAATCGCCACGGGCTTGGGCATGGTTGGTTCGGAAGCAGAACAGAGCAAGTTTGGGAATGAAGGAAGGAACGGGTGCCTCCTGTTCCGGTTTGTTGTTGCGGTGGAGCCCAAGAGTCTCGCAGGAGACGTTGTAACGTAACAGGGAGTGGACAAGGAGGCTCCGACGCCTTCGGTTGGCTTCGTCAAACTTTTTTCCAGGCAGGTAGGAGGCAACCTTAGCACTAGCACCAGCACTACTTCCGACCACTTGGTGGCACTTCTGTTCGTCCGTACGACCTTTGGGCCTTGAGCTTCTGCTCGTTTTGGTCGCCACCTGCTTGGGTTCCAAGGTCGGAAGCAAAGCGTCGCAGCCTCACGGTGTTGCATTGTCGGCTGCGAGTGGTCGCAACTGAATGGTTTCGTGTCGAAAGCTGACTCATGAAGACGGGCCCTGACCACATTGACATGCGTACATGGTAACGTTGCAGTCAAAAGTGCAGTAGCTTTTTGTTTTGCAACGAAGGACAAGCAAGACGTGCGACACCGAAAGCGAAACGATCTTCGTCTTCTTGTCACCTGTTGCGCGACGGACGTGTATGAGAAACCCTCAAGTCTTGTACTGACCAGTCTGGAACAAACAGCGTGCCAGCGGGTAACCTCATGGATTACAGACAAGGAACCCACGAGAGCTCAAAGAAGTATCCGAACGCATCGGCGAGACTTGATCTCGAGGTGACCAATGCGACTGGGAACAGCAGGTCGGATCAGAAGAGCGAGGGGAGGACTAGACCCGACTCTTGTTGATGTAGTTATTGTTTGACTTCAACGTGTTGCAGTGGATCGGAAACTAGTCACCCTGAGTCCAAGGTCGGTGGGATATCGGGAAAGGTCCTCGACTCCAACTGAAGGAGAGGAACAAAGTCGAAAACGCTTGTGTGATGCACAGGAAGCACATGATTGTCGAGAGGGTGAAGAGATGTGACCAGGAGCTCCTGGAATCTTGCGCGGTTCTTTAACCTGTACGGACACGAGCAGCATCGGCCATACTCGTCCAATTGGTCTCGTAGATCTTGACAAGGGACACGACACAGCCGAAGAAAATGCCTGCGGTGAGACCAAGCCACATGCCTTCGACGCCCATGTCCATCCAAAAAGCGAGATACACGCCAAACGGGAGACCAACTACAAAATAGGCGAAAAGATTGATGTAAGCGCCAAGCATGAGCCGTCCCGTGCCTCGGAATACCCCTTGCATCACAGCGTTCATCGCATCGCACATTTGGTACGGCATCAGAACGAGCAGTGCATGTCCTGCCAGTTCAATAGATGATGCATCATTGATGAAAATCTTCGGGATGACATTCCGAGTTGCCACGATAATCACGGCAATGACTGCTGATAAAGAGACGGACAGTATCATACCCAACATCGATGCCGTCTTTGCATGAAGTGGCTTGTTGCTGCCTGTGTAGTTGCCGACGAGGACGTTGGCGGCTACTGAAATGCCCAGGAAAAAGTTGAACGCGAACGTTGACACGTTCACGAGCACCGAATGCACGCTAATGGCGACGATACTGCGAGGCAATAAGCCCACAAACGCCGCCATGATCTCAAACGACCACCACTCCAACAACATCATTGCAGCTCCTGGCAGACCAAGTCGCAAAAAGGTACTCAAGTGATGGATCGCTTCTTTCGGTTGCCAACCTGGCCACCACTCGGCAGAAAGTTGCGGATTGCGTGTAAAATATGGGATGAAACACAGCGGAAGCACCACTTGCGAGCACAGTCGCGCAATGGCTGCCCCGTCGAATCCCAGAGACGTGAAGAACGTGAGGTAGACGCCCAGAAGCGCATTGACGAGATTGCTGATCACAGCGATGTACACCATAGGCAGCACGATATTCTGGGCTTGCATCGCCTTCTTCACCATCTCATAGACGTACATAGCTGGAATCCCGGGAAGCAGGATCCGACTGAAACGTCCAGCGAATCGTGCGACTTGCTCAGGCTGACCGATCAAAAGCAGAATAGCTTCCGTGTACCAGTTGATAGCACACACGGGAATCATGGCGAGTGCCAGCACAATCAAACCACTCTGGAGGTAAATACCAAGGTTTTGTGACTTCCCAGCACCATACGCTTGTGAACAGAGCGTGTCCATGGCTGTGGCGAGACCGAAGCCGACTCCAATAGCAGTCAGGTTCATACACATGGTCGAGAGCGCTACTCCATCCAGATACTGCTTCGTTAATGGCGAATCCAAGTGGCCAACTAATGTCATGCTCACCAGTTGAGGAACAAATTCCAGCACATACGCCAACGTGACTGGGTATGCCAACGTGAACATCTTCCTCGCTTCTGCCTTGATGTTGATGGACGCATCATGCTCGAATTCTTCAAGTAAACTTCTCGACTCGATATCGATTTCGGAGCTTCGAGTGAGTGATTTCAGCAGTGGAAGCTCTTCGCACGTCTTCTGTGGCTGATTCAAGACCAGAAGCTGCAATTCTAACCGATCTGAAACGGAAAAGGGTGACGAGTGCGTCTTTACGGTACTCGATGGATTACTCGACGAGCTGTACGTACTTGAAGACGTGTCAAAATCATCACCAGATTCGTCCGATCCAACCTGCGAGCTGTTCACCTTCAAGTAAGCAGCACTTTTTCGACTATTTATCTTTTTCTTGATGTTCTCTGCTCGACACGAACTCTTGAATCGGTACATCCCGAAGCTCAACCTTTGTACATCGAACGTTGCAGTAGAGTCGTCACTTTCCAACTCGGCCTGAAGACTTCCGTATCTCGAGAAGTCACGCGTCAGAGCACTTTTCTCCTTTCTGGGACAAGCATCCTGCACTTTAGGCAGCTGAACTCTGGCTTTTCGACCAAAATATCCGAATTTTGCCAGAAGCTCGCGGTTCTTAAGATCCGTGGTAGCGATGTCGATAACTACTCGACCGCTTCGAGAATTGGATCGGGCTGCAGTAGATCTCTCACAGCTTTTGTGCAGCAATAAACCACTATTAACACTACTATCACCGGCACTCGAGCTGTCATCATCTCCGGCACTCGCGACGATCATCCCGATGAATCAATCCACCAGTTTGTTGCAGCAAAACTTGCCTTTTGCTCTACCACGGTGCACTCTGCAGTCGAAGAAGAAGTTGATGCTGAAATAGGTGGTACTTGTTGCGTTCGTATGGATTGTTTCGTGGATCAGCTGACTATACGGATACAGTGTATAGCCAAACAGTAAACATCACGATAGAGTCAGTATCAGCATCAGTTTTCAGAGGCGCTTTCGATAGCGTCGCCCTATTGCTATATATAGCAGCAGCACACAACGTGCGACTTGGGCGGGCCCCTAAAACTACGACATCGCATACAGTGCGTACTCGACGTCTAGAGTGGTCCACGTAATCAAGTCGGCGACTTTCGCCATGCAACGGAGGGTGTGCAGACTCTCCCTCTCGTTTTCTTCTCCTTCTTCTTCTCTCGATCCTGTTTCGAGCCCGCTCGCTAGTGTTTTGCAAGGTAATGAACGACACGAAAAGTGCTCGAAAAAGTCTCTGCAATGGACGCAGCACTTTTTTTACGACGCTGAGTGGGTTGCTACTGCTCTGAAAACTGATGAGCAGTTGTTGACAAAGAAAGTGGATCTTCTGAAGATCTGCTTGTGTACGTGCGGGAGACTTGGCTCGTTGATTACGGGACGGTCGCACCGTCGATATGATCAACGAAAGAAACTCTTGTTCAATTGCAATGGTGTATGCCGGTACTTCAATATGATACAGTACGTGCGTCGATTGTGATGACTCTCAATCAGTTGATCGGTAGCTGTCACTTCTGCTTGCGCTTGTTTGTGCAAACGCCACAGGCGGAAGGAACTGAATCGCAGCCACTAAAAATCTAAAAGTCAGCCGGTGAAGGCAGCCACTCCACAAACTACATACTTCGCATTAAGTAGGCGACTTGTGCACGACTGCCGAACATAGATGGTCACAAATGTTGGCAGTAGCTTCACATCAGTTAGAGACAAATTGCAAACGCTTGACGACAATGTGTTCGGAACGAGGGCAGCACAAGTCAAGCTACACTGGACAAGGACTATAACGAATCTAGCGAAAACAACTGCAGAATGGAAGGTACCAAAATAAATGGAAAGCTTCTCGTACACTCGAATTAGATTGTAAACGTTGACCGCGGTAACTCTAGGTTACCAGTTCATTCGCCGTGGGTATGGAGGTAAATTGCATCGTTCTCATCTGGATTATGTTGAAAATAATGAAATTATCATGCGAAGGAGACCGGGTTTGGTGAGCTTGGTACGACGAAAAGTTGGTGGGTGCAATCGGGAACTGTCGAGCCATACTCTCTACCATCCGATCATCGTTCTTGGTATCTTGATCTTCGTCGTCAATGTCATCATTTTCGTGTTCGTTTTGCCGTTACCTTGATCGTCGCGGTCGATAAAGTCATTTTCGTTGTCGCTGTCGTTGTCGTAGTCGTTGACGCCCCCATCAACATACGCGGCACCCTCTGGTCTCAATTTGTCATCGCAAAGTCCTTCCGCAATACACATAGATTATTTGTGTGTACATATCCACATCTTCGTCGCTACCCATACACCTCGGCATGTTCTCCTGCCTCTCTCGTGTCACGGGGTGCCTCCGTTGCATGATAATTTACATGAGGTGACTATCAAGTATGAATATTATGCTAGGACAAACACAATATTTTCACAACATTATCTTTTTAGCTAGAATTGCTTCGCAGATGTAACACACTACTCATTGGTCGATATAGGATCGAGGATCAACCCACAAAGTCTAGCTACGACAGAAGCACGCAATGAGTGGTGTGCGGATAGTTATAATATATGCTTCTATATACATTTCATTTAAATGAAGTTACACTTAATTAAATGAAGTCAAAAGGGATTTAATAAATGGATTAACTACACTACATACAATTCTATTTTTTTACCTCTACTGAGTACTCTTACTCTATATATCAATCTGCCTCTGCACGTACGTGTACGTGAGGTAGTCGGACGCACACATCCTTGCATGTCAGCAGTGCAAGATTTATTCATTCAGCTAATTAAGGTGTGCCCCGTGACATCTCGAACATTTTGCCACTCGACGAAGTAGTCTCACAATACGATGGAGTACCTATCTTCGAAGCGTACTTCAAGGATGGTCTGTTATTCAACAGTGTGAACAAAAGGCATCAATTTGCAGAGATCGTAGAAATTACAAGCTCAAATAGTTCCGTGAGAGATGGTAGAATATTAGTAACAATACGATTATCTAGGTCCCAATCGCTCAGAGTTGTTCACTCATTTATAGAGAATGTCAGTTCGTCCATTAAAGCGATTAAACAATCGACTGAGGTGCCGGAACGTACAACCCGAAAATCGGTTCTACTACGTGGGTGCTCCAGGGAGCTAGGAGCAAGGGTAGTGAAGGTCAAGACTTTAGGTCAAAGACCATCCGACCCAAGCCAAGTTGGATCCTATCTCTCAAGCACTCTCAGTTCATTGCTGACTCATGCAGCAGAGATGGCAAAGCGCGTAGAGAGACGCGCAATCGAATCGGTGACCGAAAGTGTGGCCAGCCGACCTAAAGTGCCTGAAGCCGAAGCGTAGTCACGCGCAGCTACCTTCTCAGCAGCTTTCGCCGCGCATCGCATGGGTTTGCTCACCATTCGACGAATATCCAGAAACGATTGGATCGAGCCAAAACATATACCATCTGTCCCTGATGTGGTCTAACGGTGATCACATCAACATGATAGTGATTATGTGACTATCGTTAAGGGGTAGATGATATCACAAGGTGAGCCTGTTACACGTAACTAACTCTTGATATTGTCAATCATAATAGTTTCATATAGGTCAATAACTTTCTTATACATCAGCATAAATGTTAGTATTCCGAAACACTCACCGATTAGCTGATGTTTGTCGCCGTATCAGCCAGCTCTAGAGGTCCAATTAACGAGCTAGACGCGCACAATGAGGGGTGAGCAAGACATTAGCATACCTTTTTGTAGATAAATATGATTTAGTTAGGAAAAACTTAGGACAATTATTATGACTAATTTTGATTACATTTCTACTTTTACCAGCAACTAGTCAGTTATCTAGTTGCTTCCCTTCCCAACTTAGTTAACAGGGGTAGCGAGGCACCACTCACACTGCTGTCAGTGAGAGTAGCTCTACACTGATTGTCAGTGTGTTGCTCCGGTGCCTTGTTACAGATATTCCGGTGCCCTGTTACAGGCACCCCATGATAATGGGATTGCGCTACTTTCCAAGCAGCAACGCATGGCGAGGGGAATGCCACCGATTGTAAAAATTCCTTGAACGACTTTTCAACGTTCACTTCATGTGGTGTGAGCGTATACTGGGGAAGTGAAACGAGGTGCGGGGTCGCCGTGGATTGTAAATCCGACCCCCCCCCCGATTCTATTCCCGCACAACCTCCGTCTGCGCGAGAAGTATGCCCGAGGCAGACCCCTCCAGCCCCGGCTACCGCAAGGGATGATTCCAGTCGAAGGTGGAAGCATCAAAGAGGAGCAAGGGATGGATATGACTTGAGCGTGACTGCAAAAACATGGAAATGTGCTACCTTGTAAGATAGGGGAGCAATCTCTGTATCTGGACAATTGATATAATTCATCCAGCCCACAGATTGATTCAAATTCGTTGTACTCACGTACCGTGCATCCAGTCACTGATAGCTCTACTCTGAGGGCTCTTAAATTGCCTATTTATCGATGAGGGAGGAATGCCACATCGCGCTTAGTACGACGTGTAAGGTACACCTAGTTGTTATTTGCAGACACGTACAAATGTGGCGACCGACTACATCGCACTTAGCGCGACGCAAAAGATACACAAAGCGTTACAAACAGACACACACAGAGATAGTTACGATATGAAAAGCTCGGCACTCACCTTGGACAGTCACTAATAGCTTCTCCCTTCGGGCTCACAATTGATATCTGCAGACCACCGTAAAGACTTTATAATCGGAGATGTGGCAAGTGAGCGGGATTGGCGGCCTGATCGAATGAACAGTTCCACCACATTTACCAAATTTACTGACCATCTGTGCTCGGCAGTCGCGCATAAAGCTCCAAATCAGGCTTAATCATACGAATTAGAAAGTGGCTGCTTCACCTGCTGCTTATTGGTTTTTTCAGGCTGCGTTTCAGCCCCTTCCGTCACAGGCTCGGATGAGCAAAGGGGGTGCACTGGCTCGCGCTGAAACGATGGAGTGCTCCAATCAAGAGATAGATGAGTTTTCTCGAGGTTTGATGGCTGGCTGCTTCTATCGCTTTCTACATTGGGGGCACATTTGCTATTGCTCGAGTCTCCTCATGTCTTATTGGTAGAAATGATTGTTGTCAGTGATCGGACATTAGTTCGCTTCGCTGGACCAACATTCGCAAAGCTCCCTCAAATGTTTACAATACCGCAAGACGTGGGACGAAAGAGCGTTCCATTTGAAACCCACAAAACATGATGTTTCGTTTTTATTTGATGTGACAAAAAGCTGCAAAATAAGTGCGTAATTCCAGTACGAAGTCGGCTGTTAATATCATACACAAGGGTGTCGAGACAAGATACGCAACATGGCAGACCAAATAAAAGTACATCAGATACCGGCAAGTGGCGACGGCTATCAACGCGAAAGAGAGATGCAAGAGGCCTGAAAAAGACGACTGTGGATAATTCTTCTCCTTTTTGATTTAATTAATACCTCAGGCACCAATTAAGAGAGGAGTAGAGGGATCCTTACGTCTTGCATGTTGCAGATTCTGGAATGGAACACAATCCGGCTTGAGACGTGAAGAAAGGAGATGAGAGATGGCGCTAACGAGCGAATACTGAATTTGTACTGCTTAACTTATTGACTGCGAAAGATCCCCCACAGTGAAGAATACGAGCATACTACCCAAAACACTACCTCCAAGGTGCGCAATACAGTATATACGAGCAGCTAGTATTTTATGACATCTAATTTTAGGTAGCAGTGTAAGCGGCATTGAATCCGTCGATACTTGATGACTAAAGAAAAGAGCAACAGCAAGAGATGTTCCAATGCAGATGGAGAAGAGAAGGACTGGTGAAAAAGTAAAGACGAGGGTGCAAAGAGGAATATTGAAAGTGCTGCAATTATGTTGACAACTGGTTGACAATTCGTAATGAGCTTCCAAATGGACCAATTAGCGACTTCTTTCTCCATCCCCTTCCCACACCATGTCGCAGCAACGTGCTGGAGACAAAGTTGACGGTAATGTCGTTCAGTGTATCATGTAAAAACCCAATGCGTAGTTTACACCAGAGTCAACTGAAAGCAAAAGGAAAACTTGATGGCCTGCAGAGATGATGTAGACTCTTCGAGATGCAGCCGTTGTACTTCTCTTCCTTGCACAGAAGACATCCGTACAGGTCACAATTGATATACAGAATCAAACGCATGACAACTTAGTGGTGAGCTCAACTCGTGCGCAATGTAAAACTGCTGATGCCATTATTACGTTTATATCGCGAAAGATACCAAAATGGTGGGCAACACTTGTAGAGCTGTCGGAATAGCATTATACTTAACGATACTGGAGTCACTGCAAAAATACAAGGGACAAATTCGTACGGCATCTTGACGTTGCACTAGTCAACCCTTTTATAACATTCAACCATGCCTCAAGTTCCTCTTCAGCTCGTCGATGAGACAAAGTGCTTACAGTCTGCTGTGACGAAAGTGGAGAAGTGATAGGCTGCTTGGATATTGCGGCGATTTGGATGACCGCATTGGACTCCTTTGGTTATGGCCGCTTTGGGAAGTATCGCTCAAGCGTCTTTGCAAACCATTCATTGAGATTCTCAACGAGGGTATTGACTGATAGAAGTGTTAGTTTACACAAAGTACTCACTTTTCTCGATTTCTACAAGCGGACGAGAAGCAAAACTGTGAGTTTCGTTCCCTTTGTGGAGAACAACTTTGCTACCATTTTGCGACCTCCCTCTCGACCCCGTGCTCGGTCCAATCTTGTAGACCACATTGTTGGCACCGCTCTAGATATTACCAAGTCGCCGGGTCTTTCCTCCACAAGTCTTGCGATCAATTTATCCAAACTTTCGACCGAATGCGGTGGCAACAATGACGTCGAACAAAAAACAAAACTTTACTGATGGCTCCACCATGGATCTTTGCGATCACCTCTGTATGTCATGTATGTAGCAAATCTTCGTAGCTTCCATCGATGCATTTGACGCAAGCAAGAGTGTGCAACTACACTCACACCTAGTGTGCTTGCTGGTTGATGAGTAACATTCAACCTGGTACTGCCTTCACGACAATTTCGTTCGCTGTAAAGCCTGTTGCGGTCGCGTAAGTGGCCACCTCACCAACACCAAAAGAAGCGACCGGATAGTATATGAACACCAAATCCACGGTGCAGAAAGAGCAAATGTTAACGATACAACACGTAACGGGACGCGAACGGTGGCCCGGTATCTGCGCCATGGCCTGTCTGACTACCGCGAACATTAAGTGCAGTTTGGTATTCTCCCCGTGGAACAGCGTCGACCAGATGGTGTGGCAATCCACATCGTTCTCCGAACACTGAGCTTGATCCCACTGAAGCCTGACGGCTGTGAATGCCTTCTAGAGTCCCTATCAAAAGCACGTTTCAGACACTGCAATAAGCAAGCAAGACACCGTTCCTGGAGAGACGATAGTATCGACGTAGATATTGTGGCGAATTTTGCGCCAAGTGGAAGTTGTGGCTATGATCCCTCAAGCTTATCTGAAGTGATGCGCGGTCAGAGACTGTGGCTTATGTGGTAAAGTGATACACATTCGTGTGCTTGAAGCTTCACAGGCCCGCACACGTTTTCAGATTCGACATGGCTACGACAACGTGCTGGGGCCCTCACCCACTCGTCCAACTAGCTCCTCGGTGTGTGCCGTTCCTCGGACAATCATCAGCTGGGAAGAACTTCTTCCCGTGTGCTATCTCGGAGCCCTATCCTAGAGGCAGTCCTGTCCGGACACTGGCAATCTACAGAACACCACGTGCACATGCAGCCTTGTCACGTCGTAACACCAAGATGTAGTGTTCTTATCACCGAAAGCAAACGACTATTCTGTGGTTCTTCACGTCTCAACTCCCGATCCATGCTCCGTGAATCGACAAAACTACAAAGGCTCAAAAAGCCATGCAGCATTGGCAACGTCTCAATGTCTCGAGCTTTTATGTTATCGAGAAGCGTACGAGTTGAAATTGGGACGTCCAAGGTGACGGCTGCCCGAGTCGACTCGTTTTCGCGCTCCAAAAGAAACTCATCATGATCTCAGCTCCAAGTCTTTAGTTCAACGCACTCTCTCTCTTTCTTTCTGCTTTCCTGACGCCACATAGTTGCGCAATCGGCTCGATGCTTGTGGCTGGTAAGCAAGTAAACTAGATGGCGACATGGCCGCGATTGTATCGCTCTGGAACAATAGCTCTGTCCGATCTTGCTGAGAATAGGCACCTGCGAACCAGCATGTGACTGGATACATATCAAACGCTCCCATGTTCTGGAGAAATTAGCAAGTCCAGGCAAATGTCCGTCCACCTTGGCATTCGAAGATCAGAGCACATGCCTCAAATGATCCAACTTGATACACTGGTACTGCATCCTGTAAAGAAGAGAAAAATAGAGGAACAGATCGACTCAACGAGAACCTCGCATAGTTCGAACGATTCCTTCTGATTTGCCGCACACTTACTTTCCAAAGACGTGCCCCATCCATCGAGTACGGCAATACTAGGTCTCACGTGGTGGACATTTTGCAATTCGAGCGCTATCTGCCAGCATTTTCGCGACTCCACTGCTGTCATCTCCAGTTGTGTCCAGCTTTTGAGCTGTGTGTTCTGTTTGTTGACGTTGGTAGCACCATTCCAAAATGAAGTCCCAGCAGGACTTGACTCCTCTTGTACCGCAGTTGAATCTTGTCGAGTCGGACGTGGCATCGCTTCGAAAATTAGCGGATACCTTAGTCGCGCATAACATTGAGAGCTACAATGCGCTACTCGTATCGTCAAACGGACATGCAGATACCCGGCAATGGAAAGAAGTGCGACGCAAAGAAGGTCTTCACGTGTATAAAGAGCGGTCCACCGCGTATGCAACATCCGGGTCGACCTTACCATGTCTTCCGTCTTTACTGCTACGTGGGACGGTAGTAGGGAAGCTAGACGACGTCATGTTTGTAGCAGCAGCAGCTACGGATGAACAGATCAAGCTCACGTCCACTTGTCTGCAAGATGGGCTTCTTGACAGTAAAGTAGTGCAGTCAGTGGTGGCACCAAGCGACGAGCAGCCGTTTCGACACATTGGGGTGAAATGGAAACTACATCATGCACGAGACTATGTCTGCATTGACACAACAGGAATCGCGACAAGCGGCAGTGGCGAGCAAGTGGGCTTTAGTATCTCGCACTCAGTCGCGTTTTCACAGATCCCGAGCTTTGAGAAGTTTGGCGTCGAGCGGGCCAACATGTCGGTGTGCTGGCTCTTCCGGCAATCAACACCGGAGACGGTCGAGTGCTACACCCGTGGCTTCTTTGACTTTTGCTGCGAGAGCAACGACCTCTTCGGCAGTTTATCCATGACTCATGTAGCCTCGCACTGGCTGAGCTTTTCGAATTACATGGACTGTGCCAAGATGAAGAAGATCGTGTGGCGAATGCGCAAGTTATCGGGTCTACCGGTCAATGGTCCGATGGCCCTCGAGCCAACCGACGAATCGCCTGATCTTGCAGTAACTGTGGATAAGGGAGAGAGCGGATGCAGCGTTTGCAAGCGCAGTTTTGGCTTTTTGCTACGACGAACCTGCAAGATCTGTCAGTGCAGCGTGTGCTCGAGCTGCAGCGTCAAGAAGCTCGTGTGTGTGCTGGCACCCGATCGACGCACCGTGTTGACCAAGAAACGCTCGTTTTGCATCATTTGCATGTGCGAAGTGACCAGGAGCGACGCCTTGGCGATTGCAAGGGACGAGATCCGCGAGTTACAGATCTCTGGAGCATCATTCGAGCGCGAACCGCAGGACGACGAGTCAGAAACCTCATCAGGCGAGCGCCAGCAGATTTTCACGTTCTAACAGGGCTTGACAAGGTCTTGGCGTCACCATCGAGCTCCGAAAAATCGAGTCAATGACTTGACCGCCTGGTTTCCGGTTGCTGTCGAGCGCAGCAGGTTGATCGCCAAGACGAAAAGAGCGAAACTAGAGCTTAGCTCTGCAACTGCTTTGATTGCGCGCCTTTCACTTGAAGAGCTGCGTTGCTCAAGCCGATGTCCTCTTTGGTAGTTGACAGGCACCTTTCGCCAGAATGGACAGTATCCGACGTGGTCCCTCAGCTACTTCTGTATCGGTAACAAATGGTGGTAAAAAGACCGCAAGAAATGCCTTAGAAGGCTACGGATTTGCCGTGCGGCTGCAAACGTTCCAAGCTACAACGTCGGTCAAGCCACGATATGTGAATACTGCCTTTGCCCGCGGAGACGCTGAAGAGCACGTACGCTCACAAGACACGATAAAGTTAAAAGTCTAGTTTGCCGAATGAGTGTGAGGGGTGGATCCTGAGGCGATGTGTAAACCCTTTCAACTACTCTTCGGTAGAAGAGCAAGCGTTGACACCACATCATGTATACATGCACCCGTGGTAGCTTTCAGTACGCCGTCGAGCACTAAAGACAAGTTACGATTGTCAAATCTTGCGCGAACTTGTCCATTGAAACCGGAAAGTTACAAGGTGATGTAATGTCTCGAGGCATCCAGATTCAATCGATGTCGAAGAATAATGATGACATTGCTACGATAAGTCTATCGAATACTAACATGAAATGCTTTCTTCGACTTATGAAGCCAAATGAACAGTACGAGCATGACACTCAGTGCATGTGCTACTAGAAAGCACGGACGCGCAGTGGATTAGTGACAAGTGTTTTACATGCACAATAGACAAATGCGTCAACTTTAGGGTCTGGACATTCGTGGAGCACAATGATTTGTAGCAGACCGTTTTAATGGCATCAAGTGCAGTAGTGCATGCAATGTACTCGCTATCGACGTCGTCGAGAATGAAATGAGCATACCAGCTCGAGGCTATTGGCGCTTGGCTACCTAGCGCTTGCAAGACAAACAAACATGGCGTCACACTACATTTGACTGGGCGGAATCAATATGAGTGGCCAAAGTAAATACATTCATCACTCATGAGCGCTTCTCGACGTACCGGACGTAGATGTGTGTCGATCGATGAGCATTTTGTTGGATGTCAGCGCTAGCCCATCTACTACGCATGCAAGCGTGACTACAGCCGGTACAGTTGATTACAGATCTGTGTCAATCTACGTTGATACTTCGATTCGATTGATGCTGCAAGTATCAAGGTCTCTGCTGCACTGATAAAACATTTGATTTCACGCGTGTCCGATGAATTGTTTTGCATCGTCAATGCGATGCCGAGTCGTTGCTGATCTCTCAAAGCCCCCTGTCGTTTGCTGCAAGAGGCTACAACCACTTCTACTTTGATGCTGATGTGGGATATAAAGCTGATAGGTTGCCCATGATGCACACACAACTAGAAACGCTGCACATCATGTAACCTACTTGATGACAATGCTTGTTTGGAAGAGCATTCCTGAGAACGAAGAAGCTTTTGACGTTTTACACAGTGCTATTTCACATTGCTGTGCAAGATGTCAAGCTACCACCATCAAAGCTATTGCTGGACCATCATTTGAATGCAGAAGCCGATGCTGCCGTTTGAGATGGCTCTCAGTTGCACTTGCATCGCAATAACACGAGCGATTTGAGGGTCGTTATCCGCACTACAGCGAAGTCTACGCGGTCTCGAACACAATCTCGAATCCAAGCCTTTACAGTAGTAACCTGACAAGAAGCCGGTAAAAGAGCTGTAGGACATCTTTGCTTGACATTTTCCCACCCAAAATGCTTTAATCTATCACCTCAACTCCCATTCTCTATCAACGATGCAGCTTCTTAAGGGTCAAAAACCGTTCTCCTTGTTTGGACTTCCGACAGTTCTGAAGTTCATTGCCAAGTCCATCACACATGACGATTCAATGGTCCCATACATCTCGAATAGAAGAAGGCCAAGATGATCATGACGGTAGCAGCAGAGCCTTATAATTGAAACTGGTGCGATGCATCGAGGTCGAGCTACATTTATCGCAGTGAGATGGGCTAGGTCGCTTCAAGTGGTCACCTCAACTCATGGACGCAAGATGATACAAATTTACAAGAAGAAGTCTCGCCATTACAATTATCGAGAGGCTCAAGCAACGGATACATTTACATGGCCTTGCCATAATGAACATGGCGTGTAGTATGCGACAAAGATCGACATCGTTTGCTTCGTTACTGTAACTTCGACGAACAGTAAGCTTCGTGTAGCAGTTCAACAGCTTCCTCCCCATGAAGAACGACCTGAACCTTGTCATCCGTCGCAAGCCCCCGTATGGGGCATGCGCAGACACGGTGGTTGTTAGCTCTGCAATACCAAGCAAGGCCTGATTAAGCGTGCAATCCTGTTCAGCCCACATCCCGTGCTCCCGACATTGTGTTGACGTATCCGAATAGACAGATGTCGCAACAACATATTGCGAGGTCACTGTCCTTGCAGCGGTGCAGGTTGACGTTGAGCAGACTGCAGTATATTTGTCAACGGTATCGACCATACCAAGTCGATATCAGTGGCAAAACGTCCATCTCATCTGCATCCGCAATGGAAATTCCAGTTCGCACGTGTCCTGACGTCATCACTTTTCGTGATGAAGCACAGAAGTCTTCGTCCTTCTTAAAAGGCGACTGGAAGCATGGGAAAGTTCCTGGAATTTTCCTGTCTATTTCCAAGTGAAGCCACGTAGAAAGCGTGCGCTATCAGGCAGATTCTACCAAGATTCTCACATCAAGGCGGATGAAGCGACGATTTGCGGATTATGGGTAAATCCATGTCGTGAGCCGATTTTCGGTGGTCTCTTTGACGCCGCGAATGGGCTCGTCACTTTGCTTCATGGACGATCGGGGGCAGACGAATGGCTGGTCATGTACGTACAAAGCTGCTTCACTCACCCCTGCTTGGCATCCATATAGCGTCGAAACGAGCACTTGACGTACTGATTCTCCGTTCCATACCTCAAAACACTACAAAAGTATCCAGCAAAACATCAGCATAAGAACTTACAACAAGACCCAGCGTTAGAGGATACGTTTGTAGCGCGTGAGGCGACAGCGAGGCGGCCAAATGTGCCTATGAAGCCCAGTCCGGTCGGACAACCTCGAATTTTCCAGGTCCCTATCGTTGGTCACTCTGCTGCCCGCCCGTGTGCGACATTCAAAACCACGGCCACTCTTGTCGGCAGCAGAGTTTCTTCTGATTCACATCCTCTGTCCTTGGCAGCGCAATCGGCTTCGACTGACGCTAACGCGTCACTACGTGCACGTTTTTTTCGCTTACATTCATCAGCTTCAGCCGGTCGAATACATGCGTGACTTGTCTCTGTGTCGCATAGTAGGAGCACTTGCGGCTTCAGAAACCGTTTCGAAATCCGATCGATAGTGTAAATACCGCCAAGAAGAAGACCGGCCGTGAATTGACTGTTCGAATCACCAAAGTGACGACAGTCGAGCTTTTATCATGTCGAAGATGGAGGTAATCGCCCAGTCGCTGCCCCAACTTGAGCTCTCACATTCGGACATCGAGACAATCACGGAGCTGTCAACGAAATTACTGGAAACGAACCTGGCGCAGCAAATGGAACTCCAGCTCACAAGGGACGGCTTCCCTGACTCGAGAATTTGGGGCGAAGTCCAGCGAAAAGAAGGGATCCGGGTGTTCAAAGCCTTCCAGCCACTCAAAAAGTCCATGCTGTATGGAAACAGCGCAGCACGGATGCGAGCTGGTGCTTCTCACCTCGACGAGCCAGGGATGCCGTCGCTCTTGATGTTGGGCACCGTCGCCGGGAATTTGAACGATGTCATGTATGCGTCGGTTGCAACGAGCTCGGACGGAATGCGAGCACGGTCCAAGTTTGTGCAGGACGGTCTCACGAAGAGCAAAGTGCTCTTGTGTCTGGAGGGTCCGACTCGAGACGATCCGTTCCACACGCTGAGCGTCACGTGGCGCTATTACGCGCTGTCGGAACCCCGTGATTACACGTGCATTGAAGCTACTGGACTCGTCCCCAACGTCTTTGGCGACCTCGTTGGCTTTCACCTGGTCCACTCGCTTGAATTCAAGCAACTGCCAAAGTTCACGACGTCTGGCGTCGAGCGAGCCAACATGTCCGTATGCACGTTGTTCCGTCAAAAATCTTCGACAGTGGTGGACTGCTACACACGCGGCTACTTCGACTTTCACTCGACAAACGACACGCTGAACAATATCTCGCTGCACGCGATTTCATTCCAGTGGCTCTCGATGGCTCGATACGTCGACTGCGCGCAGATGAAGAAGCTCGTGTGGTGGATGCAGAGGCAAGCACAGCGCCATTCGTTTGCCAGCAGTAGTCAAGGCTCGAGTTCCGCCTCGTCAGGAGGCGTCACTGTCGTGCCACAGCACAACCGCTCTCGCGTCCAAGCAGATACTCGCTGTCGGGTTTGCCATCGCGGATTTGGCGGGTTCTTGCACTCGACACCACGGACTTGTGCTTGTTGTGCGGACTGGGTGTGCAAACGCTGCTGTGCCAAGAAACAGGTGTGCGTTGTGGCAGTTCACAGCAAGAGCAAAGTATACGACAAGAAGCTCGTCTTTTGCGCGCAGTGCATTGCCGAAGCTTCAAAGAGTGACGCGTCGCACGTTTTTCGCCAAGAGCTACGCGAGCACTGTCAGTCGTATCCATCTGCTCGCACAGCCAAAGTCGAAACAATTGATACGCCGCTGCAAGTGAGTGACGAGTGTTCCCTGCTGCAGTAACTAGTACGTATAGTGTATGATAGCTGAAGAGACGCGAGCAGGACGTATATGCATACGTACGTTTGTCACCTTTCTGCCGTGGGCCATCAACCGTAGCTGAATACATTGAGTGGGGTTTTTTCGTATTGCTGACATGATCTGGGAGCACACGACAAATGCATGATGATGACTACTACGGCAGTGAAGGAAAGTGCGTGAGCAGTGCGCAGCTCCCCAGTCGTACCGCACACAATCTAGAACTGGCCTTTTGACGACAACATACTATCGACATGCGAGCAACGCCACTTACTCTTCGATGGTCTTGTTGCGCATCTCCGACACCTTGAAGCCAGGCATCTCAAAAGACGTGGCCAAAGCGTTCACATCGCGTCGTAGCTGCTTCACGTCCTCATGCGCTTCAGCAGCTTTGACAAAGTCCACCAACTTTTTGCCGCTCGTGGCCTGGATCTCAATGCAGAGCTTCACAGCACGGTCGAGGAAATTGGCCACCTGCACAAAGTCGGCCTCCTTGAAGCCACGACTGGTCAGAGCCGGCGTGCCGACGCGCACCCCACCTGGTGTGAGCGCGCTGCGGTCTCCCAGCACAGCGTTCTTGTTCAGCGTGATACACACCAAGTCACAGAGCTTCTCGATCTTAGAGCCCGTGACGCCCTGAGGACGCAAGTCCCACAAAATCAAGTGGTTCTCCGTGCCGCCTGTGCACATCGAGTAGCCCAGATCCGTCAACGTCTTGGCCAGAATCTTCGCATTTGCCTTCAGCTGCTGCACATAAGCCTTAAACTCGGGACTCTGCACTTCCTTCAATTGCGCGGCAATGCCAGCAATCTGGTGTTCATGTGGTCCACCCTGAAGAGCAGGGAACACCGCGTTGTTGATCTTTGTCTCAAAGTTGCGCTCATCGCGGCAAAAGAAGATCATGCCGGCGCGCGGGCCACGGAGCGACTTGTGCGTCGTCGTCGTCACAATGTCGCAGTACTCGAACGGACTGTTGTGCTCCTTCGTGACCACGAGGCCGCTGTAGTGCGCCATGTCGCACATGAGCAGCGACCCGTTGTCGTCGGCAATCTTACGGAACGCTGCGTAGTCCCAGTCGCGAGGGTACGCGCTGCCACCGCAGACGATCATCGCCGGCTTGAACAGCGCGGCTTGTTCCGCCAACTTGTCAAAGTCAATGAGCCCCGTCTCAGCATTCACGCGGTACGGCAGCGACTCAAAGTACACGGACGTGGCGGACACGGCTTTGCGCGTCTTCTCGGCCTTCGAGTACGTGTAAAAGCCGTGCGTCAAGTGGCCGCCACTGGGCAAGTCCAGGCCCATGATGCGGTCGTGCGGACGCAGGAGCGCCGTGTAGACGGCAAAGTTGGCTGGCGAGCCCGAGTACGGCTGCACGTTGACGCCCCACTTGTCGGCGTCAAGGCCGTAGGCCGTCAAGGCGCGCTGTTGACACAGGATCTCAATCTTGTCGATCACTTCGTTGCCGCCGTAGTAGCGCGCGTTCGGCAGCCCTTCCGCGTACTTGTTCGTGAGGCACGAGCCGAGACAGTCCATGACTGCGCGGGACGTGAAGTTCTCGGACGCAATGAGCTCGAGGCATTTCCACTGACGGTTCTTCTCGGCTTCAATGAGGTGGAAGATCTCGGGGTCTTGCTCTTCAAGCGTCGCGTTCCCGGCCTACAGATGGCAAAGAGAGAGAGAGAGAGAGAGGGAGAAGAGTTAGACGGGGGGCGAGCCGTGGGTGGCGGTGGCGGGGGATATGTGACGTACAAGAGGCATGGTGGGTGAGTGGGTGAACGAGACGAGGGCGGACTGAAGAGCGTGCGCAGGACAGAGCAGAATGCGGAATGCAAGGCGGTGGTGGACGTTGCACTGACCATCACTCTGTCAGAGCGCGTCGGAAGGCTATGAAGTTGTACAAGATGTACTATTTATACAGGTTGATTCGTGGGTTGTTGAGAACAACTGCGAAGTTGCGTGGAGTACATATATTAAGGTGGACAGGTGCAGCCGACGGCGTCAAGTGCTGGGCACCACGCGTGTGACCTGTCAAATTACATGTCTGACGCTGGTGTGCGAGTTCACGTGGTCCACACGGACGTGTCATCGCTCGTCGTGTGGTGCACATGAACCACGTCGTTTTTGCGTGTCGTCGTCCCCGATTGTAGCCATGACTTCCTCGCCGACGCCGCTCTTGCCACCCGCGGCACTCGAGATACTGCCTGATATCATGGTGTGTGTGAGTCTATGTATTTGTATCCATTATACCTTCTGAGGTGCATCAAAAGGCAGACCTTTCGATGCATTTAAAGTGTTAAAAAAAAAACTCGGACGCTCTTACTCCATGCGTCTCTATCGTGATCTCAGGCAGCGATTGGCCGGACGCCCATGGTCCGTATCAATAGCATCAGTAAGAAGGCACATCTCCAGTGTGATCTACTGGCCAAGTGCGAGTTCTTCAATGCTGGCGGGTCAGTGAAGGACCGTATTGGCAAGCGCATGGTGGAAGACGCCGAGGCCGCAGGTCTCATTCGACCTGGTGATACGCTCATTGAGCCCACGTCTGGCAATACTGGTGAGAGACGGGTCAACATTTTGAGTGTATTGAGGTCTTAATCATGCTGGTATGTGCTAGGCATTGGCTTGGCGCTCGCGGCTGCGATAAAGGGCTATCGCTGCATCATTACGCTGCCAGGTGGAGAGCTTTGCCAAAATAAAGTACCGGATTCTTCCAGCTTACAAGTGTATCTATTTATTATTGCATGTGTGTGGTTGTGTGTCCTGTGTTGCAGAGAAGATGAGTTTAGAGAAGGTGACTCTGTTGAAGGCACTGGGGGCGGAAATCATTCGCACGCCTACGGAGGCGGCGTGGGACTCGCCAGAAAGTCACATTGGTATTGCTAGGAGATTGCAGGTGGAGCTACCCAACGCTCATATTTTGGACCAGTATGTAAACCCGTCGAATCCTCTGGCACACTATGAAGGCACAGCGGAAGAGATCTTGGACCAGTGTGATGGGAAATTGGACATGATTGTTGTGGGTGTCGGCACCGGTGGAACGATTTCGGGTATTGCTCGGAAGCTGAAAGAGAAGTGTCCGGAAGTTATTGTTGTCGGTGTGGATCCGGAAGGATCGATCTTGGCTCAGCCTGAGTCGCTAAACGACAAGAACCGGTTGATGCCATACAAAGTAGAAGGCATTGGCTACGATTTTATACCGGACGTACTTGACCGTGATCTGGTAGATGAGTGGCAGAAAACAAACGACCAGGAGTCGTTTATCATGTCCCGTCGGTTGATTCGGGAGGAGGGGCTCTTGTGTGGTGGATCGAGCGGTTCGGCCATGGCGGCGGCCGTTCGAGCCGCTTCGAAGCTGAAGGCTGGCCAGCGCTGCGTCGTGATTCTGTCGGACTCAACGCGTAACTACATGAGCAAGTTTTTGAGTGACGCGTGGATGTATGAACACAAGTTTGTCGAAAACACGGTGCATGCGCGTGAGAATTACTCGGAATATCGCAAAGAAAGTGGCACGTGGTGGTCGGAGCAGCGTGTGTCGGTCTTGGGGCTGCCACATCCTTCGACAGTGTCCCCTCAGCTCTCATGCGCTGACGCTATCGAGACGATGGAGCGTCACGGGTATGACCAGCTTCCTGTTGTGACAGACAATGGTACTGTGCAGGGTGTCGTGACGATTGGCAACCTGCTGTCAATGCTATCGTCTGGCCGCGTTACGCGGACGGATCAAGTGGGCGCTGTGACGTTCGGCAACTTTAGCCGCTTGACCCACGAGAGCTCGTTGGCCGAACTTGCCTCTATTTTCGACAAGGACTACTTTGCTATCGTGACTTCAACTGAAGGCAAGATTGCTGGTGTTGCGACGCGAATTGACTTGCTCAACTATATCACCAGCGGTCGTAAGGATTGAGTGATCTGATGTGGACTGGGTAGTGAGTCTGTTCGTGATTGCGTATCACGTCTCTTGCAAGGCTGGATAATTTGTGGAAATTTCAAAGTTGGACTACGCTGATCTGCAGCTTGTGATCCGATGGACATCCCGAAGCAGAAAGCCTGAGTTGAAGAGTACGCTGATACTAGTGGTAAAATGAGCCCTTCGATGGTCACATTCACCGTAAACTGGTGCCAATACCTTGAGTCGATACAAATGCTATACCAACTCTCGTGTCTTTTCCTCGTCTATTTAATTTACTATCGCTAGAATCCCATCAAGAACCACCCATCAGGTTATTTCCGTCCGCGTTTGAGACCTCTGCAATCGATTTATTTGTAAGCAGCACTTTTTGTCGAGACGTTTGGTAGTGCTGCGAAATGTGAATTGGACACCAAACTCCTAAAATTATCTGAAAACCGAACCGAAATGTCAACATTCTCAGCGTTTCGTCGTTCGCTTAACATTTCTATCACGACAAGTCGTCACATCAGTGGTCCCGTACACATCCAGGTAGTGACGGTGCACAGTCCCTTGAGCATACAAAACTGCCGTGGTTTGAAAAAGCCTGTTCGCCAGTCATTCCGTCCTTGGTACCTTCCATCATGACTGGTTGTCAATCCACACAGATTCTACCAGTCTAGACCCATGCTCTTTTACCTGACACGACACCATTTCTACAGATAATTGAGCCTTCCCAACTAAACGGCAAAGTAGCGCAAGTTGCGTAATGAGACACTACGAATACTAAAAGTCTACGGCATCTTTAGTCGAAAACGAATCGGGACGTCAAACTTCGCGATCGCACATACTCTCGATTATATGTTTAGCATCGTGCCTCTATAACTCCCTGGAAGTCTTCCTGCTCTATTCAACGCACTCGAGTCCTTGTGCATCTTTTCCTCTCTCCTCGCATCTCTCACGAATCTCTCTTCTTCCTTGTTATAGCGGTGAGTAGTTCAGAATCCCTCTGTAGCACTTGGTACACACGTAGAACATCATAGCCCTCCATCACGTGCGTCCGAATCCGCGCGGCGTCAGTCTCGTGCTGTCTCAGACGCAGCAACTCTTTTGCATTGAATCGTAGTTTTCGACCCATGCTACGATCGGGGAAGCTTCTTGCCACGCGCAGCACATCTCGGTAAAGTGTCAACACTTTGCATCGCAAGTTAGTCATACTCGCCATTGCTTGTCCGTTCGATTTGCGTGATAGAAAGAAAACAACCACGAGCGACGGTCGACCCGCTTTGGTGAATAACAGCCTCAGTATTTGACTGCATTGTACAAAGTTGCACCGTTCATGGCAGAAATTCCAGTATTGTGTTCATAGCTCCCTCATGTCTCGATCGATGATGAATAGAGTTCCCGTTCCAATTCATGCAGAAGTAGTGACAGATAGTCCGGATCCACACGTCGCATGGTGAGCTTTTGTTGCAGCGAGACGTACCCAGCGAGCTTGAGGAGCTTAATAATGCTGGGGGTGGTCTGCATCATTTTTGAATAGCGAATGTCATCGTGCTGGAGAGTCCGGAATTTCGACCGCACACCTTCACGATGCAAGGAGCCAAGCACCTTGAAAATCGAAGTGAGTTTTCGTGTCCGATCTGTATCGGATGGACACTCGCAGCGACAACTTGCTAGACACGCTCGGACTTCGTGAAGAGCTTCTTTTACTTGGTGGACTGTTGGGACACGATCCAGCGCGTCATCACTCCACGATGGTTTATCATGGAGGAATTCACCGGATGAAGCACCACCCATTTGAACGGATGGAAATGGCAACGAACAACTGCGTCGACGGACAAGACCTGCCATCCAATGTCGAAGATCGTTGCGCTCATCCATTTCCATTGCGGGATCAAGTGATGAGGGCGAATAGGGCGATGCAGCGAGGTCATTTGGCGGTGCCGCTTCCGCTTCTGCTGCTTTTCGCAATTTGAGCAGAGCACCCAAATCCTCCTCGATGAAGAAGGGATCGGAACCATTATGACACTTCCTCAACTGAGCTTCCCTGAAGTCATCACTGCCGAGCATCGACATCTCGTCATAAGAGTCATTGCAGCTTTCTTCGTCCGACGATGAAGAAGCAAACTCATCATCATCATGATCACCGTCATCGTCACCACCGCATCGGGTCCCACAAGTTGTGCCAAGAGCTTGTAAGTAGGACCCTTCGGTTGGTGCTGCCGAAGGTCGATTCGATCCAGAATAGTGTCCGTGATGGTGTTTCTTGATACTGCCACGACTAATGTTCAGATCACTGTTGACTGGTCTTCCTCCTTTCGGCTTCGATGGCATGGGGTGTGCTGAATAATACATACTGGCTGGTTGAGACGACGGATTCGGGCTAATAGCAAGCGGAGAGGCCAATACAAGTGGCAGCATCCGGGAACTCATTGGACTCTTGTCAACACTTGAAGGCATTTGGTGAACCGATGGTCTCAATACCGACTTCCGTGGTTCAGAACTATCACGAACAGGAGTATCAATAGAAGCCATCACACCCCGTAGCTCAGACACCAAATCTTGCGTCGTAAGACCTCTCGACCTTATCGTTTTCGTCGGTGATGACATACCAATGTCGCTTAGTGACTCAGAAGACGCTGTTTCGCCTAGAATTGTAGCTCCTTTGCCGTCTCCCTGTTCCCCGAAAATCTCAAAGACGCTGTCAAGCTCAAGTTGCGCTGAACGATCACGTGCAGCATCGAGTCGCTGACGTAAACGTACTTCAGGTTCCGGCTCGTCGCTATCAATGACAGACAGTTTTTGTTGGGCTTCCTCTAGGCTACGCTGCAAATCCAGGATCTTCTTTTCCAGCTCATGGATTTCGGTCACACGGCGGACTGAGTCAGCAAAGTTATACGAGGAGTGCCTGTCGTCTTCGTAATCATGCTCGGAACCATCTTGCTCTGGCTGATAAGTTGCCATGATTTTTTCGTAGTTCGATGCTGAATACGGGTCGATGCTTTGACCTGAGCTGTTATAGCTGCCGGCTAACGTCGGATAGCTTGCTACGGAAGCCGAACTGGCTGATACTGCATCATCATCGAGTTCCAAGTGAGTCGTTTTACCATAGAGATCATCATGTTGCACATGTTGACGCTCTCCAACGGACAAAAAGGCTTTACCAGCCTCTTTTGTAGCTCGAGCTGCGGCAAATGTAATGCGCGCAACAGACTCGAACTGGTTGGCCGTCATTCCATCATCTTCGTCAGGTTCACTGATGTCACCATCTTCTTGGCTACGAGTACTCGGTCCAGAATAATACATGGCGGGTGCAGCATTCGTCGCGTTGGCCAGTGCTGCATCATAATTTAACACAGAGCTTTCAAGTGCCTCTTGGATGTATGTAATCTCGCTGTACATGTCGTTAAATTCCTCAATCTTGTCGCTGTTCTCCTCGTCTTGACGTTGCCCATAGGCTGCTTCCGACATAGATAGATTGATCGTATCACGCACTTCACGAATCCGCGTGACAACTTCCGTGAGAGCTTGTATCTTGTCTTGCGCACGCAGTTTTTCTGGACTCACCGTAATGTTTCGCAAAGGACTTGCTGGCTTGAGCTCTGTATCGGTCTCGAGGACATCACCAGCCAGGTCACTCTGTCGACGGTCACGATCTCGTGATTCCCGCATACGGAAAACCATGTCTTCATATGAATTGTGTTGCGGGCTACGTAAGCCACGAATGTACGACTCGGTGTCGTTCGAAGTCCCCGATACCGGTGGCTCGTCACCTGTTCCCGTATTACTTTGTGCTGACAACTGCTGTTCTTGTTGCCTTGCACCTGCACTTGTCATACAGGCCGAACAAACCCGCAAATGCGTGATATCAAAGATGGGTTCTTCCAGCTCTCGAAGCAACGCACAGGATGAACAAACAACTTCTCCACACGTTCGACAATGGTGCTTTCGACGAAAGTAAAAGCCCCGGAGACAAACGGCACAAGCTTTTCGATCCGAGTTCGGGACCCATTGCCACTGCTCGACAAACCTCAAACTGCTCACTCGCTGTCGAGCTACAAGGCCTGGAATTCTAGCGACAGCACCAACAGTTTTCTCCATTAGTTCTTCCAGCACACTGCGAACAATGGGGTTCAAGTCCCCATCAATCTGACAAATAGCCGTCACGTTGAACGTATTCGCCTGATGCGTTTTTGAGACAATGATGCCCATTCTTGATAAGTAGCCGCGAGCGATGCCGAAATTCTCCAAGGTCGGGACTTCTCGATCCCGCGAGATCGATTCCTGGATACAAAAGCCCACAACGTTCGAGCCCGGATGAGGTTTTTTCTTCCCCGCGTACTCTAAGAAGCAAAAATCCACTTTTTTCTCCTCTTCGCCATGTCGACGTCGCTGAGTTTTCAACGCGTGCCATTTAATTGCACGATAAGCAAAACAGGACGACGACGAGATTGCTCGCCCGGAGCTATTTTTAGCTGGTCGGACACTTTCCCTCGGAAAAGTAAACAACGTCCGGCCATCGACAAAACCGTCATCGTGCAGATACCGCATGGTTTTCCGGAACTCTTTCGTCTTGACTTTTGCCACCGCGCGTAAAATCTCGTCCACGTGGATATCCGAGACTTGGACACTGGCTTTCAGTAGCGTAGACGCCTGAGCCGCGTTGTTCGTAGGCTGAAAGTCGAGAAAGTTTGCCCGTTCACACACAACAGCCACGTCGTCTTTTGACTCGACACGAAGACGGGACCGTCCAGGAAGCCGCGACCGGTGACTGCGACGATCCCTGGTGGCACTTGTCCATTTGTACGCACAGTCGGCGTCCTCGATGATCCGAATCAATTGTGTCACGCGTTCTTTCCCCAGTCGTTTATAGTACTTGACTTCTTCGCGTGAGAGCGCGATTTGAGGGAAAAAGCCATCGTGCAACGGGAACTCGAGCATGTGAGCAGTCAGCGTCTCCTCTTGTGTGCGCCCACTAGCGTCAGCGTCCAGCAAGTTGCAATCGAAACCGACGGTAAAGTCTCGTCGTATACACAATGCAATACACGGCTCGCCCCAAGCCCTTTTCGAGCGATCTCAATGCACAGAAATAAAAAACGCGGTCGTACAAAAACACCCCGCGCGCCGTTTTTTTTGGTTTTTTACGCGCGTCTCCTGACCGCAAGTGATGGAATCGCAGAGTGAGCCCGTTCGCAGTGACGCGAGCCAAGGGCGAGGGGGCCAGACGAGCCAGCGTCGTGTGTAGAAAAGCCATCGCGTTGTCCGATTGTGGCCATGGTCGGGCAAAAACGGGACGGTCGCGACTGCGCGCCTGTCGAAGGCGATGGGTACATTGTTTTTGCTGCCCTGCCCTGCCTGATACTGATAGCCAGCTGTGTGCGACACGTTCGGAAAGTCGTTTTTGCGACTGACACTTGGGAGAGTCAGTAGGACGGGAGGAGAGCAAGCGCTGAAGTAGCAGCAGGCAGGCGGCGACTCGTTGTCCTGTCAGACCGACCACTTTTTTTTCGTCGGCCGTTATAAGGTATCGCTCTTTCACACGATTGTCCGCCCGTCCTCTCGCCTTGGTGACGTAGGCGATTCGGTTGAGATGAACAATGCACGACTAGCTGTTGAGTTGAGTACCACATGAGCGACGGACGGCAAGTGCGACATGACGTCTTTTTGCGATCCACGACTGGAGAGACAGTAGTAGTAGTAGCACTTGATGACGGCAAAAAGAACGACGGACGCATTCTCTTGGTAGACGTTGTGCCTATTGACGACAACTGGTCCATGTAGCGCGTTGGACGGGCTACAGTCTAAAGTTTTACTATCATGCTGATGGCTTCTTGGTAAGCAGCAAGCGACCTGCACCTTTGGAGCCCAGTCAGCTGTCTTGAAGTTGAAGGGGATCCGATAAAGTGGAGATAGCACCGACTCAGCAGTAGAGTCAGCTGCATCTACAAGCGCGTACAACACTAACTCAAACGCCAACTATCTCACTGGAGCTGAACGAGCGAGCTCGAGAAAGAGAGGCAGCACCCTGTTAAGGTATACAGTTTTTGCCATTGGTGGTGAGGGTGCCTCGTGTGGATGTTTCTGTGCGCGATAGACATGGCGAGAGCTTGTCGCTTCTTCTGACGAAAGATACATCTGAGAAAAGTCGTCTCTTTCTCATTAGTGGCGCTTCTTCCGGTCAGGCATGGAGCACGTTGCTGCTCATGCTCGGAAGCTGCAGGGCGCCAAGTGGATCATCTCATTGGCTCAGGAGATTGTCGTGACCTGTTCCTTGCATTGAGGATTGGGACGCTCTTCCAAATTCAATACACTCGACTTGTCGCACGAGCAGTTTCCGAAGAGGCTTTTGCACGTGTCTGGGCTACAGTATCGTGGAGAATGCAGTCATTTGTCTCACCTGGAACCTCTAATTACGTCCATCTCGGATGGTTAGGGACATTGTCCACATTGCATTGCACGTCAATGTGTCAAGACCGAAACACCCTGGATCGACTTTTTGTTTTTTCTTAGGTGCTGAGTATGTGGGGAGTAAACCTGACGATCGTTGAGATCGCGAGAAAGATCTAGTGCGATTGCTCCAGCGTAAAGACTTTGTCATGGTCGATAGATGCCAATAGGTTACTTCTTTACCCACGTGCATACGCTAAGTTTGAAATCCCCATAGCATGTCTCCTTTCTTAGTATGGACAATCGAACACATGAAGATGTCTGTCGTAAGCTGAGCTAAGCGGTCTGTTCATCTTTTTAAGCCAAATTTGCGAGTCGACTCTGACCAAGGAAAAACATGACTGTCGTTACAGCCTTTGAGGACCCCGACACACTGAGTTGATCGTACAAATGTATCAAGAACTGCCTAGGAAATCGAGGAAGGGCAAATTCCAGGAGGTAGGCTACAAGTACGACCCGATGTTTAAATCAGCTCGCGACGAAGCGCATGGATGGCGTCTATTTGTTATTCACGCTTGACGTTTTACTCTCTTGGTCGTGCCAAATGTGCGTTTGGCACCTTTCTACTCAAAACTTGTATCGATGGATGGACTCGAGATGGCGCGCGGACCGTGGACTTTTCGGACGTGTGTCGTCCAGGCGGCCTGATTTGTAAGCGTAAATCATCAGCACAAGACTCAGCAGCGCTTTGAACGCTGCTAAACAGAGAAAAAACGCTACTGTGACTAAGACACCGCTAGGTGACGTAAATACAACCGGGGCTTCTACTAGAGCCTTCGACAACATGCGCAGCACCACACACGCTAAAGGCAGCGACATTAGACCCAAGCGCTTGGACACATGGTGCGTGTGATCGAGAATTGTGTCCTCGCTCTTCCAGCCTGTGAGATCCCGACAAAGAATTGTGATGAACTTGGAGTACATCGTGGGTGGTATCTGATTAAACTTGGTGATAAAGGCATGCTTGATCCAATCAATCAGCATCTCAGCCACCCAGACCATGGCCTACGAGCAAACAAACAACAACATCAGAAGCAGTGCGTATTGGCTGAGAACAATGCTCACACTGATGAAAAAGGAAGCAACCAAACGCATTTTACCGTTCCATAGGCGACATCGCCAGTCGACGACTGCAGCAGAATGAGCCCGATAATAGTGAGCAGCTTGAAGCGCTCGACGATATCGCTACAGCTGATCTGGAACAAGTTTTGTTCTTCGAACTTTTTGAAAACCGAGCTCTTGAGTTCGGCAAAGTTGTTTGAAATGAGGAGCGTGAGCAGTGAGGTGTTGCTCGAATTGACCGCAACATTCAGTGTCACAACTTGGGCAAACAACAGCAACGAGTGGAGCACCACGTAGACGATTGCCACGCTAAAGTCCAGAAACATGCGCGTGACCCGACGGGGGTGGTACTTGGCTGTATAATACAGCGAGTCCAGCACATCCTGTCCAAAGGACGAGAACAAGCGATCAAAGATCTCGATCATCGTAAACAGCACGTAGAGTTTAATCATCGCTTGGCCGCGAATGGCGTGGTACACCCTCGACATGTCCACGTACCCCAGCACAGTTGTCCCTACAGCCATAATCACTGCCACCATCAAGTCGTAAAAGTGCGTGCGTCGAAAAATCCGTGCGTGAAAACTTGAAGTCACGGCACAGCCACAAGCGAATAAAATCCGGAGTGGCATGTACGTAAAGACGTAAAGAAAACTATCCAGTGCCAGCAGCACGCCAAAGAGAAACAGCTGCTCAGTATTTAACGGCACAACAAAAAAGTTTTGCACGCGTTCTTGATGCACGCCATCACTTTGTTTAATATCGTGAACGCCAAAGATCTCTTTGTAGAAAAAGTCCGACAGACGGAACAAGTGATGACCAGATGGATTCGAGGAAAATCCAGTGCCAGCTGGAGGTCTTGGGAACGATGGCTGAAGTGCCACTTTGGGTACTTGCACCTCGGTAGATCTGGATAATATCGGGTATGGAGAACTCCGAGCTAGTGGTGGTACGGATGGTAAATCGGATGGAGAGAGTGGCGAACATGGGATAATTGGAAAATCCGTCTGGATTCGGAGATTTGCTGGAACTGCTTCGTCCTGACGTATTGGTGAGACCTTTTCATCGATTTTATCCCCTTTGAGATCAGAATTATTCCACTTTGCAGAATGTCGAGAGTTCTTGGATGGAATAACGGGAGACTTTAAATCCGGATTTTTTGGCGCTTTGGAGCTGGTTGGAAGATCCGCTCGTTTGTGTGAATTTCGCTTGCGATGATGCAATCGCTTTTTACGATAGTAGAGATCTAGAGAGACGGTTTGGTAGGATCTTGATGGCTTCGGTACTGAAGTAGAAGCGGAGAAAGTGGCACGTGGTTCATGTGGGATATCCACGGTGGACGGCGAAGATGGCGCTATCATGATTCGTTTTAAATAAATGCTGGTCGAATTATAGTTTTGGGATAAAATCTAGTGGATATTTGATTTGGATATTTGCTCATTTGGTTTTATTTGTTTTTGCAGTATTGAAATTGACTATTTTGTAAGAATGTGTTTACCTTACATAACAAGTTGTAACATTGAACGGACCATTTTACCCGTTGTCAACGCTGACAGACGTTAATAGCGTGTCTGTTATTGGTGACGTTGTTGTTCATGATACTAACGACCACATGACATGACGACACTACTTGATTGTGTGTAACGATAGGATTGACCCATCGTTTTGTTACTATTATTGTTAAGCCGGCATCAATAGGCTTTAAATAGCACAACGAGACGAACTATGGACCTAGCAAGATGATCATTCACTTTTCCATTTTACATTCTTCGAAGCGTTTTAACCGTAAATCACCATTGGCTGTTGCTAAAAGTCGAAAGGTGATGAGCCCGACTACGCCGGACGCGGGCGACATACTCCGCGAAGATACCTACTTCGTGTAAGAGTTCAACGCGAGGATGAGGCTGACAAAGAAGGGATTGATAGAGCATATAAACACTAAGCAGGAACCAGAAAAAGGAGACGCAACCGTAAACGTGGAAAGTCAACGATATGAAGGCCCTCGAAATTGAGTCAACAATGATCAGCACGAATCTTCAGTCAATCGTGCGCACGGAGAGGAAGCATGGGACACAATGAAGACTTTTCTCCTACAACAAATTATGCAAGCGTCGCACTAAAAAAACCTAGGTTGTCTACACAAAGAAGGACATGCATTGAAGAAGCGTTAAAGCCTCCGACTGCGACGTGCTCGTACGTAATCACAAACATTGCAGTGTCGATCGTTGCAGGAAAGGAGGACGTTGCCACGAGACTTCGACTCCGATAAAGCGTCACTTAATTCGAAATGGATGACTCGGATCCATAATCTTCATGCGTATAGTCGTGTTGTTACTGGCTTTAGTGGCCAAGCGAGTAGTTTGGCTCGAAAAGATAATGCATGTGGGGCTCAAAAGCAGCACCACGGCACTTGGTACAACGAAAAGACGACTGCACTACCACGGCGTCTTCATCTCGTGTGTATGTTGATCATCTCCGAAGCCTTCATGTCCTTCCAGAAGCGACTGTTCGGCTGCTGCAAAATGGTCATCCAGCTCTAGTCCGTCGTTTATCATTTTGTTTTTCTTAAAAAGCTGAATTGAATAATTCTAGTATAGAGTGGGGAGCCAACTGTCGTATCAGTTAGTGCGAGGGTTTGGTTTCAAATTCGCATCTGCGAGGACGCTATCGTATCCATATCGAAGGGGTACGGGTATTCGCAAAAAGGTATCGATACATACTGAAGCGAGCTTTTGACTTAATCCTCTGCAAAAAAACCTTAGCACTGTCGATGCACTTTACATGGCACAGAGTACTAAATGAAAGCATCGGCGACAATCTAACTTTTAGGTGAATAAACCCTTACAATATAGTGGAAGTTGAACCTCTCGACGAGCTAGCAAGCGCAAGCCATGGGTTCTCCATGGGCACGAAGCTGGTCGAACGCTAGATAGGAAAGATCAAACGCTTGTGCACAGTTTTCGATCGAGGGGTGAGGTAGCTATCTCATGTAACTGGAAGAGACGATAGAGATTGACTGGTCTCTCTGTTATTGTTCCAGTTCAATAGCAACGCTCAGCCACGATCAATTTAAGTACTACGTGCACTGGTACGGTGTGAGTTTGGTAATTATGGTAATAATTAATAATTGTACTAGCGGTATGTGCTAGTATAACAGATGTATCTATTAGTTTTTGTTACCATTATTGTTGTCGGTAGTTTTATAATTGTTGCTATTGTTTTGAAGACCTTTTGGCTGAGGTAACATGTGCTAATGTTCTTCTTCTTCTTTGTGGCAGTATAATCGTCGCATGAATGACTGGATCAACGAGCACGAGATTTTGAGGCGGGGCATGGACGGTGAGACGCTGAAACTGAAAGAGCTAGATGTCAAAGAGAAGGGAAAGGAACAACGGGAAAAAAACTGCAGCAAAGCACCAGTTTCCAGTGACACTACTGCTAGTGCAGATGCTTCAGCGCGTACTCGAGGACAGAAGTGGAAACCATCAGATGATCCGGAGTTTACCCCGCCAGAAGTGGAAACCATCAGATGATCCGGAGTTTACCCCGCCAGAAGAAGAGCATGGTAAACACGAAGGCATGGATGCTGCTAGTATTCAAGAGCACAAAGAGGTGAACAAAGTTAAGTTATGACCATCCGTTATATTACACTCGCTTCCTGCGCTCTCTCGACATCATGCGTTCGCCTCCGACATGCGTACCGCACATTGCCAAGATTGGTGAGATTTACGATGTGCTCAAGAACTGTACTCATAGCGGATTCCCGGTAGTTGTACAGCGCAGTCAGGACGCCGCGGGTGGTGGGAAGAGAACTAAATTCGGCGCTCCGCATAAGTCGCCTCGCTTCTTTGGTATCATCCATCGACACCGTATGGATTTGCTCCTTTAGCGCAGGGACGTTTTCGGCAAGAAACCAGAGTCTTATGTTCGTTATTCTGCTGGTAACACGACTCTGCTGTATAACGATCAGCGCGCACTATCGTATCGTGATACGCAGGGAAGCAACCCTTGGTATCCACCCGTTTACGTATTCAGCTGGATGACGACGAGCAGAATTCGTGGATGGATCTCACGCTGTGCGTGAACCCCACCCCACACGCTGTTCAGGAGAAGACATTCGTGCCGCGAGCCTTTCGACTGTTCCAATCCCCGGGGCTGCGACACATCATTGTGTTTCATTGACGTTATGCAGCACATGGTGTGATCACAAGATAGGACTCGACGCTGGCTCATCTCAAGTGTTGCTTTGAAGCAGAGCGTGAGGAGGAAAGCTGCGCATTCAGGGATAAATCCACCTCGACCGAGCTGGATCTGCGCGATTCGTGGACGTGGAGAAGAAGCTTATTCGCATCAATGACAATCCTAAAGCCGAGTGTTTTTTGCAGCTGCGACAGCAAATACACGAGTTCAAGTTGGCCAAGGGACGAATCATCATGGACCACTTCCTGATATTTGATGAGCTGTGCATGACTGTACAAGCTTTCGGACAAGATATCTCACCAGATGAGCAATTGCTCGTCCTATTGGGTAGTCTAACGAGAGACTATGACCGCATCGTCAAGATAATTGAGAACATGCCTGGAATGAAACTGTTTTACGCTAACTAAATGCTGAGACAGTAGTACGATGGAATGACGAGGATAAGACATCCAGAAGTCGTACTGAATAGTACGCACTTTTCAAAGTACAAGAAAAGACCGTACCAACATAAAGGGAGATCATGTTTTAGAGATGAAAGGTTCTCGGGAAGATACTAACAATATCAAAAAATATAGGCACAAGCGTCTAGATTCAAGGCTGCACAAGTGAACACAGAGAGATCTGGAGTAGAAAGAGCATTTACTGCGTCGAGTCCGACGTCATCTGGATGTTAATAAACAGTGGGAAAAGCAGTGACGTGTGTCCTGACAGAGATGAGTTTAAGAGCTTAGACCCACATGACGGACCCGATCATGATCACCATGGGAGACGGTAGCGAAGTGGCCGCGCAAGGTGTTGGGACAATGCGCGTGCATCTCTAGACTGGCGAAGTGATCAGGATCGAATGGACACTATGGGTTCCGGCCTAGACCGAAGGCTACTGCTAATATCGACATTGTCAAGAAAGGATCTAGGAGTGATATTTCCAGATCTGAGCTGTCAGATCAGAAATAACGCGAGAGTCGTTGCTTAAGCACTAAGACGAAAAAAGACGTACGTTTTAGAGTGCAGTCTGGATGAGGTAGTCAACATTTGCAGCGATTCGAAAAAAGAGCAAACATTAAGTCATGGACCAGGAGAGGCTGATCGACAGGTGTGGCATGCAAGATAAGGTCACCTGCTAGCGAATTTGCTTAAGGATATGGCGTGTTGCCATAATTTATTGAAGATAAATAAGAATCAAGATGGTGCATACGACATCGAGATCTGCGAAGAGTGCTTCATGGACAAACGACCGTCAATGACGTTTCTTAAATCACCTTATGGACAAGTGAAACCATTGAAGTGCTGGAGTTGGTCGTCAGGGGTGACATAGAACCTATGACAACAAAGCCTTGAGGACGATCAAAATTTGTCTTGAAAAATGATGATTAATCGAGATATATAGACGCACACTATAGTGAAAAAACGTCGGAAGTAAAGGATTGCTTCATCGAGTACGTGGCACTTACGGAAAATCAACTGTCCAAGAAGATTAAGTGCATTAGGACAGACAACGGAACAGAATTTGTCAACAGACGATTCTCTGGTATATTGTAACAATCCGGTATCATGCATCAGACGACGGTACCCTATAAACCACAACGAAATGGGGCTGAACCCATGATTAGGATATTTACAGAGCGGTTCAGAGCAATGCACAGCCATATTCGAGTCGATAAAACTTGGTGGGCTGAGGCGATGACCACAGCAGTACACATGACAAACCGAGTTGTATGTGCCAGTCACCTGACTGCGACTCCATTTGAGTTTGTCTTCGGAAATGTACCTGACCTCTCTAATATGTGTGTAATTGGATAAAAATGGTTATGCACATGTCTTGAAGTCAAACAGAACTGAGATGAACAAGAAGGCGATTCGATGTATTTTCTTGGTTACTCAGACCAAAACGAGGGGTTTCGAATACAAAATGAAGATGCCACGAGAGTGACGCACACGAGATTGACTAAATTTGATGAAAGACCAACACTTCAGTACGTGCAACATTATAGCAGATCCAGTGACCAAGCAATTTGCACTGTTCATGATCGACAAGATATTTCTATCGATTTAGAGCAGTATAGAGTAATAGAAGATGTGGACGTAGAAACGCATGAGATATACCATTTTTAAAAAGAGATTCATGTGCAAGATAGACGTGCGACAAAGATGGCTTTACCATCGAGATGCGACAGCGAGATGCATGGAAACGTGGTATCTACTATTGAAGACCCCTGTTTGAGATTGATGATGTGACAATTATTGAAGAAGATCCAGACTATGTTGAAGAAGTGTTAAGATCAGGGCCGATGACGATGCAACTAAGTCGACGAACAATTGCTCAAACATTAAAAAATTGTAATGTTTCCATTAAGATTGTTAAAAATAATGGACAGTCTCAAGCGCTAGTACCAGTGGGTGGTGCGGGTGAGGACTTTTTGACGGAACAGACGTGTGTCAAGAAATAGGCACAAAGAGACTTCGTGTTCAGGATGAACAAACATGAGCAGAGTTAGAGACCTCAGCGACAAACGAAGAAGCTCTCAAGTCACCTCATGCGATGACTAGTACAAGTACATCCAAGCTATAGCAAGGCTTTGCACAATCAGAACACCTAAACAGTACAAACACGACGTCCAAGACAAAAAGTGAATGACACCGAATGGTTTTCGCGCTCAAACGAAACGATTTGGTTAAACTAAACGATAAGAGACACATCTTGTAGCATTGGCTACAGGCAGGCGTATTTAGTTTTTAATGGAGAAATGATTACCTGTGGAAATCCTTAAATCAGTCCGAGTGTCTTTAGCGGTGTGTTGTCACAAAGGAATCTTAATGTATCGACATGGTGTCAACATCGCTCTTTGCATGGCGTTTTGAAAAAGGCTGTATACATACAACCTTCTCTAGGAGCTTGTGCAGGACGTGATCAAGTTCTCAAGTTTTTAGTAGCCTGTTTGGCTAAAAATGCAGCCGCAACATGGTATAAGACAATTTTGTGTGTGATGGTATATATGGTGTTCACCTCATACGCGGCAGACTCAAGCATCTTCGTCAAAGAGACCAAGGGCTCGTGCATTTACAGTACATTATATGTGGACGACCTTCTAACTGGGGCTGAATAAACTGGTGTGATGAAAGATGTGGCAGCGCAACTGCCAAGTCGTTTCCAGATGAAGATAAAGGGTGGCGTTCGATCCTATCTCGGAATCAAATTCGAGTACCTGCACGACGGTTGACGTCTGAAAATCAGTCAATGATCGTGTATTTATAAAAGGTCGATAATTTTTCAGGTTGATCCAAAAGCAGTATCGAAGCCAAGTGTTGAAGGGCAAGCGATGCTTAGGATGAACAAATTTGACAAAAAGAAAGAAAAAATCGACCGTATCGGTCATCAGTAGGGTCTCTGTTGTATGTGGCAACAGGCACAAGACCCAATATTGCGTATGCAGTATGTCAGCTGAGTCGTCATTTATAGTTTGGATCGAAGAGCACTAAAATGCAGCGATTCTTGTTTTGCGATAACTGAATACAACGAAGAGAAAAAGAATTTGCTACGAAAGAGTTTTAGAAAATCTTCAGCTGAGTGTGTACACGGATGCGGACTGGACAAGTAACAAGTGCAATCGCAGACCAATTTCTAAATTTTTAGTTATGATAAATCGTGCACCTGTGCTTTTTGTGTCGACGATGCAGTAGAGCGTGGCATTGAGCATGGCAGAAGCAGAGTTAAAGGAGGTTTCTTTGTGTAACTGGGTTAGCAAATGGTTGTAATAACCAGGCACAAAGGTGAGGTACACACAAAAAGAGATCAGCGTTACTGATAAGGCGTAGTTTAGTTTTTCATACGCAAAGCGACAATACCGTACCCTATCGGTTATGGTTAGATGATACATGTCATAGCAGAGTCTTCATAAAGACGACGTAGTTCTGGTGTGGTACAAAAAAAGAACAACTACGATGATGAATATTTATATAGGTAGCATAGTTTTGAGGTTGAAAAAGACGTAAAAAGGGTTTGTTATCGCTATAAAATAGTGAATATATTCAGTTCCCCTTTCGATCAATTTTAGACACGTGTCTTTCTAATACTTTTCTCGTCGTAAGAGTTTAGTGCCTGAGTTAAGTATTGGTACTCTTGGTCATCAGTGCCGCGTAAATCCATGAAGCTGCAGTCCCCTGAACCAGGACACGAAGCTTTAGAGCTTTTACATACACTTAGAAATAAGTCTCACAAAGTATACAAGACCTGATACCTTATAAGTTAAAAACCGCTTACTTTAATATACTAAGAGACTCTTCGAGTCTAAAAGGTATCCTCTGACTAAGGGTTTGGGGTAGCTTCACTACACTATGTGTACAAAGGAGGTCCTGTGGACAAGAAGTCTACTCAAGAATATAACAGTGCAGATTTACGACGCTGTCACGATTCATGTAGGCAACCAGAGTGCAATCTTTATCGCCAACTTTTTCATCTTACCTTCTTGAAAGCGTTTCCAGCATAAATTGCTCACGGCTGTTGCCAAAAGTCAAAACCTGTAAATCTTATCGTGACAAGCAGGTAGTTCTGCATGAATCTGAAATGGATTGCATTTGTTGATGGATGATGGCGAGGCACGGAGTAGGCGAGCTCAGTCGCTCAAAAGTCGCAGCAGACGCGGGCTAAAAGCTCAATGTGTGTAGTTTTGTCTCCTTATCTACGCTAGTCAAAATTAATCTTGAGTATTTAACAAGTGTTTGGATGTCGCTTGATTTATGCTATCCGTACTAGCTATGTAGAATGATAATTGAGGGGTCATTTGCCCGAGGGAACTCGTGCTAGATGTAGCGAATATATAAAAGTGAGCGCGCAAACGCGTCGTGCATAGAAGATTGCCGATCTTGCTTCGATGTAGTTTTTAGCACACGATACGGCATACTTAGAGCGCCATGTTTTTGCGATTATTACTAATTAACGAAACAGTGGCGTTCTGGTCACTGTGATACTTACAGACGAATCGAGGACAAGTTTGCGTTCTGTATATAGTAAAAGATTTCTCAATGATGATTGACGAAGCTAACGATACTGACCGCAACACCTAGGTGTTGTGATAATTGCATAATGAAGTGGCGCTGGCGTGTATGCAGCATTGTATGCATGACATTTGCGACTTGATGGATACCAACAAGGAATTGAAAAACAGATGAGTTACAGTCGTACGTCTACCTTACAAATAAGTAACCTTGTTGAGACATATGTTCTACCTGACATACAATTAACCTTGTCAAGACATTAGTGCGTCGACAGCAAATAATGCTTCTAGTCCAAGTTGGACTGACTCGAGAAGCCTTCGAAATTACCTTCCATTAAAGCTCAATGAGTAAAACTGTAGTGAAACTTTCACCACGCTCACAACGTTCGTTTAAACTTTTAGCTTTAGCACGAAAATCTGACCGATCTAAAAGCATACTTCAATAGGACGATACTCTCTTACCAACTATTCCGGATGTATATAGAACAGCTCTAAACATCTGTATGGTGAGTCCTCGCGGAAGTGTTGTATAATTTAGTACCGGTTAAGATGTGGGAAATAGCATTTTAACCCGGGTGCTCTGGTTCTGGTAAAAAATAAAGACAATGTGCTTAGGTCTGCAGTCCCATGTAGTACAGCTAAAAAGCAAATGCTTCCGGAAAAAAGTTGTTACGGTCAGAAGAAGGTGCAATTTGACAAAAAGAAAAGCAGTAGGAAGCAACACCATGTCGAGGATTACAAAGTCTGTGGCTCACGTTAAAATAAGTCGATAGCCAGGAGTTGTCCGTGTTGAGATCCGGCCAATCAAAGCATTTGTGTGAACCCCCGACCCTGCTTCTGAATCGAATAAACATCTAATATGCGAGATTCGTGGCATACAAACAGAGTGTCTTTTTTTGCTGACAAGCTCGCGGCCAGCTATATTTAACCCTTCGATAGGTCTTGACCGCCACGGCCGCCAGATCTCACTTTCTGCTGACTGCTCTGCTGGGAACATCGTTCTGGGTACGTACCCTCGCGTTGTATACGTAACAGATGCCCTACTCCCTTTTGTGTATACTGCGTGCTTACGAAATGTGTTTGGTGACTCTAGCATCTGAGCATCCAGGAGGGAAGAATGCAGCTCTTTGTGGAGACACTATCGGGCGCCCCGCTCACGCTCAGCGTGGCGTCGGATGCGTCCGTTGCGTCGGTCATGCAGGCCGTTGAGGACGTGGAATACATTCCAAACTTCCGTCTGGTCTGTGCCGGCAAGCAGCTTTCGGGCGGCTCGCTCGCCGACTACGCGGTCGGCGAATGCGACACGCTCAAGATGCTGCTGTCTGTCAACGGTGGTATGCGTGCCAAGTGGCGCAAGAAACGCATGCGCCGTCTTCGTCGTAAACGCCGAAAAATGCGTCAGCGCGCCAGATAAGCTCCAAGTCACCGACCGTTGGTGACTTGTTGTGTAGTGGGTCAAGCTTAAATTCGAATGATTACGTCGAGTGAGAAGGAGGGTTTGGGGACAATCTGACGACAGCACAGTGATGGTCAAGTTGGAGCTGCGTTGGTTCTGTGAAACAGCTGGTGGTTGCACGGAAGTTTCCGCTGATGCGTCAGTTGAAACGTAGTTTTTACATGGTTTTAGCTGCGTTTTAACTAAATGAGGCAATGTGGGCAGTTGTGCGATAAAGTTGGTGAAAATACTGTCAATTGTTCTGAATTGAGAGATGAGAGACAGGGGTGGTAGCGGTGTGTGTTTTTCCCAAAGTCTCAGTATTCTACAGAGGGGTCGTAGTTCAGCGCCCAGGCAGTAAAAGCTGAAGCTGAGGCAGACAACCGTCGATATAGAGTCTGAGGTCTCTCCGTGACTGAATAGGTCCTGCTTACTGGTGCAACGTGGTCCAAAGGTGAATGCTGATTGCCACGCTCCACGCCGCTCAAGTTCTTGTCCTCCTTATTATCATCGTAGACGTCGTTTCCACTTCCAGTCACCATCCTTTCTTCCAGATGAACCCTTTCATCGACCCTGTCCTCCCTTCCGTTCCTCTGTCCATTATCCAGCATAAGGACCACCAAAGTCTCACCTGGTAACGATACTGGTGGCTGGGTACTCGGTATCAGCAACGGCTGCATCATCGCGTGATGCCGCTGACTCACAAGACTCGTTGATGATAACGGCACATTCGAGACCGCAGACAAAGAGCTGTGGCGAGAGCGAATGGGGGACAACGACGACTTTGCAAGAGCCAGTGGCTCCATTGACGTGTCCACGCTCTCAATCTTGTAATTGTCCAAGACTCGGAAGGCCCGCTTGCGTCGCAGCTTTTCTTCTTCCCGACGCTTGAGACGCTGTGCGGGCGTATCAAACACCCACATGGTCTCGCCAATCCCACGACGGCTACAAGAATCGCGAGCAGTCTCAGCTCTCGATCCTCCATCTTCATCTTCATCATCCTCACTACCACTTAAAGCCTCTTCCTCATTGATACCTTGCCCACATCGACGACGCTCCTTTCGGGTCGTGACCGGGGGCTTCCCGTGTCGACGTAAGTTCTGGACCGAACAAGTGAGCGCGTGGAAGACACTGGAGATGTTCGAGTCGTACTGCTTTTCATACTTGTCCAACTTGATGTCGTTGTTCAGCTCAAGCACTTTTTTCTCCCGGAGACTGCAAACCTGCAAGTCCATAGCCCCATTCTCATGACATTTCTCCTCTTCATCACTAGCAAAGCTGGCGCCGTTAAACGACTTCCTCGTATTCTCCTGGTCGCCAGTAAACTCCTGTATATCGGATCCAGACTGATGCGATAACAACGCAGCGCCACGGAAGGATAGAAAACTTGTCACACTGCGTCGCACCCGGTCAAAGCGCAGCGTCTCGAGCCGCTTTTTTTCCTGATACGCACGTAACTTCTCCATCTTTTCCATGTGTGTCTTCGCTCGCTCCACGAGGACATCCCAGCGTTCACGAAGTTGCTCGGACGTGTACAATTTGAACTGCGGATCGTAGTTACATTGCTTGGCCATGAGGTCATCGAGCACTCGAATCAATTGCCACTTCGGACCGACGCGTTCCACTGCAAGGACGAGCAATTCATCGTTGAAACAGTCACAGTGTTTGATCCGCTCCGTGCAATACGGACACAAGTCCTTCCAGCCCCAGGTCTGAATGATCAAGTACCAGATCAAGTCCAGTGCGAGGGCCACGAGGGACATTCGCATGATGGACGCCAGTGCTCCAAACCACATGAACTGCCTCAAGAACAAACAACTACGAAATGCCCAAATGTAAAAGATTGGAGCTTGGGCGACCGTGAGTAGAAGCACCACCAGGAACTGCAACAGGAACGCAAAACGAAAGGAAAACCCCTTCAAGTCGCCACCACCTCCAGCAGCTTTAGCTCGAAAGTACTTGCGGCGTTGCCGGAAGATCAACTTGAACAGTTCCTTGAAACCAGCTTTACCAGCAGGTGGTAAGACGGAAATCAGGATCGCATAAAGCACCACGGAACGGAAGATGGTCATGTTGGCACCCCACGAATCCCGCAACATCACAATGATGAACAGCACGTAGAACGTTATATACAGCGAGCACACGATAATCAGGGCTCGCTCGCCACGCGAGAGCTGCTCATTCCGATAAGGGCAAAAGATCCACGTAAAGTAGTTTTCATGACGCCACCACGTGTGGAACGGCTCTAATGGCCGTCGGAACTTTTTCCAGCAACAAGGTCCACACAGCCTCGTCTTCGGCACCTTTCGATCCCATGGCACGGGTTGCCAATAGTCCACCTCATTCTCGGGCATGTTCAGTTCTCTAGAATAGTTGCGCTCAAGGTTCTTCCGCCAGCTCTCACAGTGCACGACCATCTGGAAGCCACGCAAACCGAACAACGTAATGACCACATAGGGCAAAAACAGCAGCAAGTAGCTGCCACCGAGCCAACCCGATGAGCTGCAGGCAACTGGGATCGAATTCGCAGACAAGTACGTGACGCTAAAGCGTTCGTGATCAACCTGCTCTTCCACTGTATTCCTTTTCTTAAGGTTGTAGATCTTTTCACTCGATGATACACTCGTTGGTAGCTGTGCAGGTTGACAGTAGTCAGCCCTTGGATTACGCTCGAGGTAACACGGTTGCACCACAAAGTACATGGTCTTCTCGAGCGTGTTCTCGATAAACGTGTGCGACAAGTACGCATAGGTCGTGCGTAAGGTGGTTCCAGCTTCAATGTACTCGAACGGCTCGCCTTCAATGTAGTGCTCGTACTCCTCTTGAGTAAGCAGCAGCGCATTGAAAAACGAAGCATTTGACGTTGCACTAGAGTTCCGCGTGGCAGAAGTCGGCGTCTGAATCGTGTACGTAAGATCAAAGTCCACTCTCTCTAGAAAGTGGAGAAACGTGTAATCTTCCAAGACCTGGACATCTTCAAAAGTAAAGGCGCCAAGGTGCAGCACTTCATTCATCTCGAGGGACGAAAGCGAGATACCCAGCCACAAGAGAACGCCGACCCCGATAAGTAGCCACGTCCACAACTGCACACAGCCTCGGCGTTTGCTATACCTCGTACCCAAAAATCCAGTCCAAAAGTGTTGGTGTTCCCTCAGCACCGGGCGGTCGTGGATATACGATACCCGATGAACACGCTGCTGTTCCTTATCCTTGTACTCGACAGTGTTCTCCATCATATCTTGAGACTGCAAAGGAATCATGTCAGAGTTAAGATGAAAGTTTGGCTCATGTCCAATGGACTTGGAATACGCAATGTACGCTTCCAATAGTTCCGTGTTGATCACCTCGTCGCCGTACGTTTCGTCGGTCTTCTCTTCAAGACTATTGAACGAGCACGAGCCTTCCACGTCCAGTTCTTCAGCTACAGAAGACCGCTGCAAATAAGCGCTCGATACCTTGCTGCTACGTTCGACTCGGCTGTTTTCTCTCAACGACCTCCGCTGTTTGAACCTGCCAAACTCAACTGGCTGATGCGTGTTCGCCAAATGCACCAAGTCCTCGAACAACAACCGGTTTTCTCTCCGCGTCCATCGCTCCTCTCTTGTCTCCTTTTCCTCCTGTTCCTCTCCCTTCATCGAGTCAAGCGGTACCGATAACTGCCTCCGCCGAGTCCTCGCATGTTGCTCCTCCTGCAAACCACCTGCTTCAATCTCACCTACTGTCAGCGCCGACTCGGACGCTCTTCTCGGCCGAAAAAATCGCCGTAACAGTCCGTCTCTTCCTCTCTCTGTAGTTCTATAACTGCTTCGACGGCGTCGTGGTCTCCATCGATCGATGCCTGCCCGTGGACTCTCGACGATCGTCTCCGTAGCAGTAGAATTCGAGCCAAAGAAGGCACTGGCAATCGCATGGCGATGCCTTTCGCGCATACTACTGTTGTAACTACTAACGCTCGGATTACTACGTGCGCTCCATGCCTCATCGACCTCAGAACTTTCCTGGAAACCTTCTGCAGCACGCTCAGGGAGCGCTTGACCGGATAACGACGCAATCGACTCGGAAAAACTCGTACGCGTCCGTTTTGCAATAGCTGCAGCTTCGGTCCTTTCTGCAGCAATCACATCCAACGACAAACGAGACGCTGCTTCCATGTCGGACGAAAGAGCAATGAAGCATGTCGAGCGACGTGCAACGTACGTGTATTAGGGTTACGAAACGACGCGCTTGCTCTGCCGTGTCGCTTATATGGAAAAACGGAATGTGCATATATAAAAAAGGGACACTCGCATGATTGTGAGAGTGTCTCGTTTATTTGATTTATAAAGTACGATAAATATCGGGACCTAGAGGTTGATTTTCAAGTGTTCCCTTCGTACTGTGCCACTTGACATGACTCGGTGCTATGTCGCAGCTGGTGCCGAGCCTTTGTAAAGGTCATCTTATCTCTTATCAGCGTTGGTTGTTTTTACCACTGTCATAATCACCCTCTATTGCTCGATCTCAATGTACATTCGGGCAGGAAGAACTGGTCGAGCGATATTGGTCTAAAAATAAAGCATTGTGTAACATACTTTTCTGATTTGGCCGCGGGTGGTCGTGTATTTTTAGTCAGTGGCTACTCCAAACCTGGAGCCGAAGCATTTCTCTCGATGTAATCAAAGCATCCGGTTCAGTCCGACCCAGGTCCCCACCTAAATGAGCAGAAGGTCTGATAAGATTTGGGTAGAAAATGCCAGATTCGGGCTCATTCACAACTAATGTGCATGGATACTTACATGCTTTCAGTTACCGCTTCGATCAACAACCTTAACCTGTGCGCCATAGAATCTCGTTGTCATCTTACATCTGACACCCAGTCGAGTTGATGGATTTGACGTTTTTAGGTTTGATGGCTTCATAGTCGGTAACGCTTTTCAGCCAAAATCATTTTAGAAACGCCGGTGTGCTAAGAAACCTTCGTGGACGTCCCTGTGAACTTCAGATGCAGCTAAAAATAACTAAAAATTCAATGGAATTCTCGATAAGACTCGAAGCAATTTGAACTGCTAACGCATGGCGCCAAGTGACATTTTACAGGAGACGAGTAAAAATGTCGACCAGACTGCAAACACGAGCAAGCTGCGCATTGTGGTTGAGTCCACGATCAAACTTGCGACGGCAGTAATGTACACATCTGACTGCCTATCGTTTGTCCAGCAGGGATCAAGTAAACTCCTGACCGAAAACGTTACACCTTTATCGTTTACTACAATTTGTCGTTGTACGGTAATCATCAGAGTGACAGGGCATTTTACCATTTGTCACATACCAGATGAGACAGATTGGCTAACATACAAGAGCATCATAACTTATTGACTAGCTCGATGGCAAGCTCATTCATAAAAACCTGAGGGCAAGAACCATGGCACGATGACATTCCGCGTCATGGACCCTACCCTCAGTACACAAGCTAGATACGAAACTTGAGTCGGTAAGTCTCGCCCGGAGGACTCTAGGTGGCAGTATGCATTTGTGAGCCCAAAGGGTGAAGATATTAGTGACTGTGTAACAGGTTAAAAATAAATGTTACACGTACCCATTTTATAGTGCATATTTAATGGGTAAGTATAGAGAATACATAATTACTTTGGAACTGCCACTTGGGTGAGACACACAAATGTGACCCACCCTCGTGAATGTGATATCTATTGATGGATTCACATGAGAAGGGATGACGCTAGTTGAAGCTAGGCATCATGACGTCGACGACGGACGTCATTAGCGAGGCTAAATTATTTAACCTCAGCACGCAAGGATACGCTTCTAAAGAGTCGCGTATCCAATCTTTTATAATAACCAATCAGTGGTTAGTTTATATTTAATTCATTAAATATAACTCAGTATTGAATTTGCTAACTAAAGAACACTGCGCACGCAGAAGCTGAATAAGCTTCTGGTGTCGTAAGTGTCTTCTTGTTTAAAAGTTCGTTGCGCTCTTGCTTTACGCGAGCGGCAACTGGTGGTGCGACCAGCCAATCCCCACCACCACACGCGAAAGGTAGACGGTTTAACCGCTTCCTCGCTGTGCTTAGGTTCGTGTGTCGTGGTAGTACGTGGCAGCTGTATAAGCGCCCGTCTACACTTGGTAGCACTAGTAGTCATTCCCACGACCCGTCTCTCTGAGTGTGCGTGAGGGGCAGGATGGTCCTTAATATGGACTGGAATGATTTTTCACACCTCTCCCAACACCATAAAGAGTTGGCAGAGCACTTGGCGCAGGGGCTTGGTATGCAAGCCCTGGCCAATCTCTTGAGTTGTCTTTCTGAACAACATGTTGCTTAGTTAGAGAAATTTGAGGCATTTGTACTCGGACAGCGCAGAAATGCGTCCGAGGTACATGGTCATGCCGCGGCTGAGTCCATCAGAAGACTCAGGATGAGCTTATACGCGAGCAGGCTCGGAACGAGGCACTCAACAGAACTGTTGAGACGTTCTCTGCCCGGTCTAATCAACCGAGGACCATTCGAATGGACCCTCCGAAATTTGATGGGACTGCCCCACATACGATTGTCCACTGGCTTTTAGCCGTGGAGCAATGCGGTGTGGCGCAGCTCATCGAGGACGGCACCAGGATGGTGTCGTATGCCATGCCTAATTTGCGTGGCAAAGCGTCAGAGTGGGCTTCCTCTGCGCTAATGGTAAACGATGATGCGTTTCAATCATGGGCGATCTTTTAAACAAAGATTCGCACCATGTACCAGCCGCCTAATAATAAAGTGTTACTTCAGGCGCGCTTCTTTGGAGCACGACAGGCGAAACGCTCTCTGCAAGAACATAAGCAGGAGATGCGTTCGCTGTCGGCGTCCATTACTATGGGTCCGATACCGGAACACATTAAGGTTCCTACGTTCATGGACGGACTACGGCACGGCCCATCTCGTCAGGCCCTTTTTAGAAAGGTGCCAAAGACGATGGAGGAGGCAATTGATATTGCCATGGTTAAGGAGCAATCCTACAATAGTGCCTCGGCGACAGCTTACTATAAGCCGTCGGCCGAGAAGTCGGAAGCCACTCCTATGGAGTTAGGCAATGCAGATGTTATCTGCCACCACTGCGGCAAGCGCGGCCATGTGAAGGCACGCTGCTATGCCAAAGTTGCTGCTGGGGCTAAGGCGTCCAGCAAAAAGGCCCCTTACCAGAAGGGTGATGGCAAGGGACCGTGCACGACGCACGGGTTCAGCATCAACCACTTCGGGTTCGAGAAATGCGGGAGCGCAGTAGGGTCGGGATGCCCTACCGACGCGGACTCTGAAGCTACCCCTAAGTTAAGAGTGATCGAACAAATGGGTAGCATAGTATCTGAGGTTCCGAAAGGTCGGACCTCAACCCTTTTGGTCTATAGCGCTCGAATTCGAGGCTATGACCAAGTGATGACCCTTCTCGTAGATTCGGGTGCATCACAAAATTTTGTGAAACTAGCGACTTTCTAAAAATGTCCGGCGAGTTATGAATTGCTATGACAGGATGGCAAGCGAGAGGAGGCGATCGTTCGTTTAGCGAAGGCGCGCTCATAAAGTCTAAGGGAGTTCAAGTTGAACTCGCCTTAAGTTTTAGTGATTTCTCTTGTAAAGAGAATTCACAGTGCTAGGTAAGGAGAGTCCATGTGATCTCATACTAGGCATGGCTTGGTTGGCTACACACCAACCATAGATAGAATGGCGTACTCGCACAGTCGCTAACTCTACGCAAGACACCGGAAATGATGTGCTCTTGCGAGAGGCTAATGTGACTGATGCTGTGTCCAACATAGTCGAGGGTGCGCTGACGGTATGTCAGACGTCACCAAGTACTACCCATCTCGTGAAGCCTGGAGTAGTGGATGAGGCGATGACGGGTAGTCATGCGTCTAATGGTCCTGCACAGAGCCGAGAGCCTGTGGCAGTCGATGGTGGGCTGACGGAAAGTCAAGCACCACAAGAACCAGCACAGAGCCTTGAGCCAGGTGCGGTTAGAAGGAGTGCATTAGCTATAGCAACAGCGACACCTTCTTCCAGGTCAAAGGTCGTGGTGACTCGAACAACGAGCACCAGACGTTTTAAGACGATCAAGGGCACGTCGAAACGGTGACCCTTGGATCAGTCACCCTTGGATCAGTCTCGGTTCAAGAGGACGGGCCTTCAAACGAGTTGTTCGAGGCCGTTGAAGACAAAATGCCGGTGGCATCCTCAGTTGAGGTGCTCCAACTTATCTTGGCATCTGCCGAGGAGATAATAAAACTCTCGGAGATGACGTGGGATATGTTCCTGTCCGAACTAAAGGAAGGAAAGATCCACGAGATAGTCGCACCAGTTCCAAAAGAGAACGTGGTGGACTGTTGCTCATCGGCCACGATGGAAGAGAGCGTCTTGGAGACCGACAAAAAAATGGTTCGCTGCTCAAGGCTAAGAATCCTTGAAGGACAGCCCGTTCTATGATGTTCTGTGGAAACACCATGATGTGTTTCCAGCAGAAGTGCCGAGCCGCCTACCGGCCGATAGGGGGGGCATCAGGCACGAGATTGACCTGGAGCCTGGCACCAAGTATTGTGTGACCAGGCAATGGCCGTCGCCGAAGGAACAAGTCGATTACATCGATGAGTTCTTCGACAAGCGAGCCAAGGCGGGACATGTACGTGAGAGCAAGTCGACTCATTGCAGCCCGACCTTTTGTGTGCGTAAAGCCACAGGTGGATGGCGCGTGGTTCATGCTTATAACAAGCTGAACACGGCCACCAATCCGGCGCAAACGCCGATCCCACGGAAAGGTGTCCTATTTAATTCTATGGGGAAGTCAACTATCTTTTCCGCGTTGGATTTGAAGGATGGTCACTATCAAGTTCTCATGATAAATACTGATGTAGCCAAAACGGCAGTAAGCACCCCAAGCGGTATGCTGTGGGAGTGGCTTGTGATGCCACAAGGGTTAAAAAATGCTCTACCAACATTCAACCAAGTGGTAGCACATGTGATGCGTCCGCACCGTGCTCACGCGCCCCATTACTTTGACGATTCATTCGTGCATAGTAGGGCGGAGGACGGTCTGAGCGCAATAGAGTCGCACAAACGTCATTTAGACGCTGTGTTGCAGACTCTGGGTGACGCTCAATTTTACCCTAACTTGCAAAAGTGCGTAATAGGGGTCCCTGAGATACCTGTACTGGGCTTAATCGCGGGTGCATATGGTGTACGAGCAGACCCAGAAAAGGTAAAGGCTGTAAAGGAATGGCCTGTCCCACGTCATGTGAAGGATCTGAGCCGATTCCTTGGGCTCGCTAATTACTTGCATAAGTACAGCAAGACTTATGCGGAGCAGACTAAGCCATTGCCTGATATTTTAAAAAAGGATACAGAATGGACTTGGTCCAAAGATCAAGAAGATGCGTTCACATCAGTGAAGCAGTCTCTTGTAGAGGCACCGGTCTTGGCATTGCCAGACGCGAATAGGCCATTTAGCGTCGTCTGCGGTGCAAGCAATTTTGCAATCGGCAGGGCACTCATGCAGAAGGATGACAACGGCGTTGATCGTGTCATCTCGTATCAGTCTCGGCTTTTGAAAGCCGCAGAGCTGAATTACCCTGTGCATGAAAATGAGCTACTTTTAATTAAGTATGCCCTTGTAAAGTTTCGTGTGCACCTCTTGGGCACCAAACATTGGTGGTTTATACGGATCACGCATCACTGCGGACCGCTATAAACTCACCGCACCTCTCGCCAAAAATGGCGAGAGGGCTGACATTCTTCTCTGAATTTAATTTCAAAGTTAGTATAAGCCGGGTAAGTCGAATGTCTTGGCTGACGCGTTATTGCGCAGGCCGGAATTTGAAGCTAGACACCATGAAAGTGTGTCTCGTGCGAAAGCACAAGTTGAGTCGTCAACATTGGCAGCCATGAAGGCATACCATGTGACGAGCTCCATGGCCTCCGATATAAAAGAGTGTTTTAGTCAGGACGAGCATAGTCGCTTGCTGTTATATCAATTTTGGTGAACGAAAGGTTACCCTTCCATCGCACCTGAAAGCGCAGCTAAATCGCTTTAGCTACAGTGATGGCCTGTTATGGCATCAGCTGTCACCTTGTGATCCCTTGAGAATCTCTGTCCCTCATGACACGGATCTGAAGCTGATGATACTTCACGAGTGCTATAATGCGCCATCTAATGGGCATCTGGGCCGTGAAAAGACAATCTTACGAGTGTCAGAGGAATTTTGGTGACCCCACCTATACCGGTGGGTGGCCAACCATATTCGCTCATGCAAAGAGTGTCAGCGCATTAAGCCTGTACCTTCTAGCAGTGCGCCACTAAAACCACTGCCGATTCCTACTGAATGTTGGAAGTCGGTCAGTTTGGACTTCATGTTTGGCTTACCTCCTGACCATAAAGGCAGGACGGGTCTCGTTGACTAGTCGACAGACTGAGCAAGATGGTGCATTTAGCACCAAGATCTCGGGAAAAGAGGCTGCCCTCTTGTTCCTGGATCACGTGTATCGACTACACGGAATGCCCTAGAAGCTGAATAAGCTTCGGGTGTCGTAAGTGTCTTCTTGTTTAAAAGTTCGTTGCGCTCTTGCTTTACGCGAGCGGCAACTGGTGGTGCGACCAGCCAATCCCCACCACCACACGCGAAAGGTAGACGGTTTAACCGCTTCCTCGCTGTGCTTAGGTTCGTGTGTCGTGTTAGTACGTGGCAGCTGTATAAGCGCCCGTCTACAGCGTAGATGGTCACGGCGGTGAAATTCGCGTCACAGGCACGATTGTCTGAAGAGAGACGTGTGACGGGGCCTGATCGTGGGTTTCTCGGCGGTGGAGCGCGGAAGCTCAGGGCCGTTGGGGTTTCTCATGCTGAGGAGGAGGAGAGGGAAAGGGAAGAGTGGCAAAATGGAGAGGGTGTAGGTGGGCTGAGCGGAAACAAGGAGAGGCAAAGGGTGGGAATGCGTGAAAATGGGGCTCTTAGGGGCGCTATATTGCTAGAGGGAGTCCAGAAATCATTGAATTGTGGAGCTTCTATATATAGAGATAAATAGATCGTCTGGTTTACTTTTAAGGCTTACAAGATGTATGAAAGACCATCAATTTCATGAGGACGCCTGAAAGTGAATCCTGTCGCCGAGAGACTTTGTCTGGTACCGTCGTTCGATGTGTGACGGCACCAAAAAACAAATCGGTCACTAACTGAATGAAGGAGCTATCTGTCTAATACCCGCCATGCCGTAGCTCCTTCAGCGCAACCGCGCGCAATTATTGAGCCAGGATGTGTCGCACTTCAGCAAACAATTGTTCCGGCGTCACCATGTCCTGTTTGTGGACACTTCTTTTCCTCCAAATTCAGAGCGTTGTGACGCAGAACGAGCAAGCAATCCACCAGATCATTTTCCATGTTTGCATGACTGTTTCAGCGTTATAGGGAAACATGCGATCTATGGCCGCCTAGGCTCACCGTGGTAGTTTAAAGGCCGTTCTGGATAAGTCCGCTTGCTTGTACGATTGTAGTTGGTTTTCGTTTAGTAGCAATCGTGACCACTGAGCTACGATATCCTTCCAGCTCAGTTTCGCTCCCTTGCAGTTTAAGATGATAGGCATCAGGTCATCATGTTGCCCGCTTCAAGGAAGATGCCGCTTGCACGTGGCGTCGAACTCTCGCCCTGGACAATATAGATTTATCTGATGGGTTGCAATCCTGTAGCAGACCCAAACTTGGAACTCGGTGAGGGCGTGGCGATGCTCCCATAGCGGCGCCGACGACTGCGACAGCGGGACGTACCCGCCTTCGTGTGAGGTAGCTCTGTGTTGGAGTCCGGACATCGAAGATGAGAGAGCCGGGGCCAGATGGTGCTTCGCCTTTCGAAACGGCTGTCGCTTTATCAAATTTTATGCTTTATTGTTGTTGACTGTTGGAGGAAAGCACCACGGAAACCCATGGAGTAGCGGATGCGCTGCCAGCACGAGTGCTCTTTTGCGGGCTCGCTGTTTATGGCGTTTATTTCATGGAAGGCTTAAGCTGGTAATTTGTCCATTAGTTCGATGATCCAATCAATGAATTCCATTATTCGCCTGCTGGAGGATGACGAAGGCATGGTTTTGACCTCTAGAGTCGCGAAGCATGCTGCTGAAAACCCCTCGGCGTGTAGAGGTTCATATAAATCGGTTCAGGACCTCAGGACCGTCACGTAATGTGAGCTGCGGTGGCACACAGACAATTTCCCCTGTCCGAAGTGCTGGGCACGCAATTAGTGTGGTGTCGCCCAGAGCCCTAATTTGGGGAGCGTTTGGCAGATTTCTTGCCCCGTACATGGAAGGCGGATCCTGTAGTCTAGCGTCGACACCCTTGTGATGTTTAATTCCTTCAAACTACATGCCCGTAGCAGCGAGTACTTCATCGTCGTTGGAGATCTCCCTTTGCCATCGACTACTCTGGAATTCTGATCCCATCGATAAGTAGCCCAAAAACGCTAGTGCTCTTAAGTGTACATTTCAGTGAGCGTCAGTATCTCTTCTTAGTAATGAGGAAGCAAAATCTGTCCCTCCCGAGTGGCGAAGAGGTTGTCGACGAGGCGCTAAAATGATCCTTGTCGTTGCTGTTAAATAGTCATCCATTTTTCCTTCTCAGGGGATATCCATGCACTGACTGTTGCTTGGATGTCTGGTTGAGGGCCATCGGTTAGACGGCGTCTCCGAGAGTTAGGTAAGACCGGAGATAGTCTCCAGTCCGCTGATGCCTCGGTATCTTGAAACGTCCAAACAGACCACGCGTAATTATAGCGATACTGTTTGTGAAACAATCATTGCACGGCATGCTTTAGATTTTGAGTACTGATTGCGACGTCGATAAAAAATAAGGTCAATTATGTCCGCGCCACGTGGAGTATACAGCAGTCCTGGATTGACCTTATGCCTGCTGCTCGCATTTAACGTGGAACATTGCCAGATAAATTGCTTATGAAGGTTGTGCAAATTCTTCTTGGCCCACCGAGAAATTCTGAAGACCGCCTCTGTTCTTCAATAATAAACTAAAATTAAACACTTCAATTTTTACGAAATTGAAAGGACAAGGTTTAAAATTAATGATTTTGGAAATAAAGATTTAACTTTTATTCGAAATTTAATTTACTTAAATCTTTTGAATAATTCATTAGCTTTTTCAGCAAAAGATGTTGTTATTTAAAAATTAAACAAATGATTAATCAAAACTCCACTGCCTTAAATGATTTTATAATTCAACCTTTTTAAAAAAAAAAATATTATTTAAGATTAGATTTAAAGGGCGATTGCAACTTAATGGTAGAGTGTTAGATTGTAAGTCTAAGTGTTATGGGTTTTAGTCCCATTTTTCGCCCTTTTTGTGTTCTTTTTGATTAAAGTTTCTATAATTTAATAAGTCTTCGTTTAAATTTTTTACTTGTACTACCGGTAATTTCGGTTATTATAGCATAATATTTCATAATCTGTAGTACCCACAATTAAAAATAGATGAATAATGACTAGAACGTGAATTATGAACCTGCTGATGTATATGTAAGAAATTAATTTGATGCTTTAATTTTACGTTTTCGTGATCCCCAAATTCCAATAATTAAAAACATTTAAGAGCACGGTCGGAGGTATGATCGCGTTGAGCAGCAATATTCGGACTGCGACGCTCGTCAAAATGCTAGACGCTGTCGCTAGCCGCTTACGAACATTCTGGATGCGTAAAGCCCAATTCGCGTCGACGAGGTCTCCGGTCTCCACCTGATACCCGAGATATCGTGTCGTATCTCCATGTTGGAGTGCCGGTATCCCTTAATACTCTGTGACCTCTATCGCTGTATCAAGAATTACGAGCACACTTTTTGCCGGTTGAACAAATAGCCCCGAGAGCTCATCAAATCGCTGCACTATGGTCAGCACCTTTGGTAGCTAATCCGCCCGCTCGAGAAAACCGTCAAATCATCAACAAAAGCCAAACATTTCTGCTCCTCTTCCGGAAAGCTGGGATGTCGTAGCCCTCGAATTTCGAAATGTTGAAGTATGGCAATGGCTAGTATCTCCGCTACGAGTGGAAACAGCAGCGGAGTCAAAGGGCAACCCTTTCGGAATCCTTTAAGTACAGGGATTGGGTCTGAGAGCATTCCGTTAGCTACGAATCGCGCTGTGGTACCTTCATGAAGTCGGCGGATCAGCTGTATCAAGGCTTCCGCGAAGCCATAGAACCGTAAAACCTAAATAAAGAATTCCCTCGAGACCGTGTCATTTGCCTTACGGAAATCCAGCAGCAAGATGACTCGGCTATCAGTAATCTCGCACCGTGGTTCAGACAGCGCCGACCTAAAATACGCCATCATCATCATTACCGTTCAAGACATTTGTCGGTCATGGACAAATCCCCATTGCGTGTCTAAATAGGCACCCCAGATACCTGCTGGACTCTGCGGGATAATACCTTTGCAATAACTTTTTAACCTGTTTGTAGCAAGGCGATCGGTCTGTAATACATCGCGTCTTTCGAATTTTCCTTCTTGCGAAGTGGCATATCACCCTTCAAGAAATGAGGCTGGCGGAGTACGGCCTTGCAGTACTTCGTTGCCTATATTGACAAGCGCAGGAGGAAGTAGCGCTTGAAAGTCTTTTAGGAAGTCATTATTTATTCCGTCAGAACCTGCAGCTTATATGGCGATTTAGTGGCGCAATGGCCGCAAGAACTTCGTCCAGTGTTATTCGTCCATCAAGAGTGCATTAGCATCCGCGGAGAGAACGCGATGGGCCGGCAGCGTAACAAAATCGCGTAATGCCTGATTGAGCGCTGGCGCCTGGACGGCGTTGTGTCCTACAGAGGCTCGGGCTCCTTTCGGACGCGAAATTATTGGCTACCGTGTCTCCCGGTAAGAAGCGCCGGCCGTTGATCTGGTCAAGACCCAATATAGATTGATTCCGTTACCAGTTGGATACATGTATAAAACGCCATCTTAGACTGTCCATAGTCCGCTCCAAACGTAATCCCTGTCTGATGGTTTGTGCTGTCTGGAGCTCTTCCTGCATACTATGCATTCAAACGTGGTGAGTGGATAGATGAGCCCGCGCATGTACCAAGACCCAGCGCCGCAATAGACGCGTTCGTTGAGTTTATTTTTTCAATTCTCGTAATGCTGGCTTTTCAAATTTGTGGAATAGCTGTGTCTCACGCGCCGGAGGTTACGTTGCGCCCTACCTTGGTTTGGATATGCTCATGTAATAGATCCGTGTGGACACGCTTTAGTGTCGCAGAGCGAATAGGATACCGTACGAGCTTGACCGTACTTTACTGATGCCGCCTCCACCCGTTTTCTGCCACGTGCAAGGTGACTTGTTGATGATCCGAGGGAAAAACAGGCAGGCGTACCTGTACCTGATGAACAGTCGCGGTCCAAGTCTTGCGTGTATAGAAACGTTCGATCCTTCTAGCTGACCGCGCATTCCAACACGTGAAATAGTCCGTTCGATCGACGACCTCGTCGTCCATCGCCGCCCCCTCCAGAGTTGAGGCGTCCTCCACATCGAAAGTGTTCAGTAACGTAGTTAAAGCTGGGCTTTACGTTCGCCCAGACCGCAACCCACTTAGCCGATCGAGGAGAGAACTTTAGACACAATCAAAGTCATTAAAAAAGTACATCTGTATTCGGCCATGGCCACCCTTCAAGGAGAGTAAAGAATAGTTCCCGCTCTTGTCTGTCGTTGGGGGCATATATGTCGACCACTAAGACCTCATCGACTACGACAGCTATGACCCGTTTAGAAGTTCAGGCTGCCATTTTATCAATCCGTGCTGTTTTGTCGGGTCAAGCAATAGTGGAACCCAACCAGATTTCTCTGTCCTTGCACCCCAGAACAAAGTCTCGGACTGAGAGTAATCGTGGAGAGCGTTGCGGACGCCCCAAGCGGATCGCCGTGGATCAGAAGCCTGCTGAGCTGCCCTCGCAGAGGTTATGTGCGTCTCGTGCAGACCCCACAATATTGTTTGTGGTGTTTCACTTGCCGTTTCCACCCCCTCATCCAATTGATCTAATAATTTTTCGCAAAGCCCCTCACATTTTGAGAGTGGTATGCGTTGGTGTCAGCCCCGCGTCTGTGTTGAATGTAGAAAGTGTCCGGGATCGAAAATTAGTGCTTTGTAGTCAAGTGGTCGGCATAGAGATCGCGCTGCCTGATTGATGGCGAAAGCTCGAACCCGTCGCTTACTTCTGAGCCCTCGGTAATGATGAGTTCGTTGAACGGACTCGTTAGCTAGCGAATGATCGAAGAATCTACGGAGCGCACCCCAGGTATTGTCATGGCTTGATGCTCGGAAGGCCTGTAAATAACCCTCGCTAAAACAGCAGCTAGGTGTCTTCGAATGCGGTCCGTAATTTCGCCGTCACCCTCCTCTGTTTTGCCTGTTAGTGCCCTAACTCCGTCCTTAGGTTAAATTGCACAAATGGCGTGTCGTGCAAAGTGGCGTTTGGCACGGGTGTCGCATATCCGCAATAGCTAGTCCCTGCCATAGTCACATGCGCGCAATCTAAATTAATCATCCGTATCGTCGACAAGTGGGGCTAAGATTCGCCCAGCTGTCACACGTGTCGTACGAGTTTTCCACGCTTCAAGCCACGCTTTCGTTGCGGTTTGTCTGTCACATGTTAATAATAGGTACCGAGACAGTGATACTTGCAGTCGCACCGCCAGGCGGCTGCCCAAGCCATGAGCACCAGTTCATCGAGGGAATCCAAGAGGATACCCTGGTATGGAATATCTTGAGGCAGCAGCGTCAGCCTCATTGGAGCAGCGGTCACTGCTCGTCTTCATTCATCCGAAGTACTCTGGAGCGTAGAAAATTCGTCCCAGATATGCCTTGGCCAAGTCTTTCCCAACGATAGCCACATGTCCTGCCAGGTCCCGTTGGTAAGCAACGGCACCTCCGGTTGTACGATGGCAGTCTACGCAGTCGCCGCTCTTTTCGGGTACGGGACCACTAATTCGTCGTGATGGACTGCCTGCTGGCCCCTGCGTGCAACTATCCTGTCTTCCGCTGCCAACGTAGTTTTTTTTGTCGATACCGCTAGGAAAGCTGATCGGTGGGCAAGCGTGGTGATCAGTACCTGTGCGCGGGAACCGTGGAGCGTCTGTTCCATTATCGCGACGACTGTTACATTACGGTTGTCGTCACCCGTATCCTGAACGGCCAGTTTTTACTCGATAATATCGTTTTGGATAAAGTGCCCCGCAACTTCGCGCACGAACAATTGCCACTGAAGCAGGACACATGTAGCAATGTGGTGTTGTTGTTGTTTAAGCTAGACGACCTCGATATTAGTGATTTCCGTCATGTCGACGCTTGCTAGACGCTCTTTTTCCACGATCTTTAGTTCAGATACCGTCGCGGTGAGAAAGTTGAGGAGGGCAGAAAAGCGCTCAAGTCGGCGGGAGCCAAAGATCTGGTCGATGGTGACTTTCCGACTTTGAAGGATCAAAATCTGCCGGAAATGGATGGGCAGTCCACTCATGTCAGTGTTGGGCGACACCTCAGCTTTGTGTTCGAAATTGTCGCTGCAGTGACGCACCGCGAAGCTTTCCAAGCTATGCAACTTTGGCTCCTCCGGTAAATTCTCCATATCCTCGGTCATGCTCACGCTGACTCGGCAGACTGGCGCCGAGTGAGACCAGCTGGATCTAAGGAGTCGCCCCCACGTTAAAGTGGTGGTGTGATTCGAAGGTGAACAAACGCCGGATATTGGCTATTGCGGTAGCGTAGGACGAGCGGGATGGGGCCTTCGGCCCGTTGCTTGCCCAACGCAATCTGTTAATAGCATTCAGCGGCAGTGAGCACAAGTTATTTCCCCCGCTCGATGATTTTGCCCCGCCGAATGAAAAAGCTAGCCCTACAGAGGCTGCAATTTCCAATTTTTTTAGTAGTGTCCTCTTGAGCTAGTACATTAATGTCCCGGTGTAAAGAAATTCGCCGCTAGCCCAAGGATCTCACAGCCCTCCCCCAGTTGTAAACACAGACTAGGTCCGATCAACCCGACGTACTTTTGGCATATCCTCCCAGATACCACCGAAATTGTTTCTTCGCGAGCACCTTTTCCATGCCTAACCAGACTCGGCGAACGTCGTTGAGTGTCACGACTCGCGTGTCGTGGGGAAATTTCTCATTCAAACGCAGTTGGCCCGCATACTTTATTCCCCTTTTAAGACCGGCTGTTGCCGCTGCCACGAGCTCGTCCTGCCCCTCCAAGACCGAATCAAATTGTGATTGCACTATGGCCATTGCCAGACAATGTTCTGTATCCGGTGTAGCGACCAGCTGAAGCTTGAGTAGATGCGCCATCTCTTCTACAGAGCGAAAACAATGTTCGTTCTGCCGGGGCAACTCTACTGGAAAGTGCGTTTGTGAACTGCTCGGTTGGATGCAGCTGAAGAGTTTGCTGCGTTCTCGCTGTTTGAGGCCGATTATTTGTGGCTTTGATGGAAGAACCGGCGGGTTTTTCTTCAGAATACGTAACAGGGCGTGCCTCGACGCATTCGGAATGTGGAGTTTTGACGGCTCTGATGGTAGAACCGGCGGGTTTTTCTTCAGAATACGTAACAGGGCGTGCCTCGACGCATTCGAAATGTGGAGTTTTGACGGCTCTGCTGGGACCGACACTTCCATAAGCTCAACCCCCTGGTCCTCTATCTCCGGGGCCAACTCCCCTTCCTCAGTGACCTCGTAGTCCTCATGACTAGCCAGCACATCATACCTTGTCGATCCGCGTGACAGGGTAAGTGGTCTCTGACGTCACTGAGCCGGCCCGCTACGCTTTGCCCGGATGGGAACTGTAATCCACGCAGACCTTGGTTTAGGCTTAGGTGATTTATGAACAGCGACAGGAGTCTTTGCTGCAGTGGGATGCGCAGCTAAAGTGGAAGGAGAGACATTCATAGTCGGTCTAGCCTCTAGATCCTATGCGACTCTGTCTTCCGAAGTAGGGTGCGGTTGTAAGATCCCGATTAAAACCTCATCCCGCTCCTGATGAATACGACGTCGAAGGGATGCTGCCTCTTTTATTTCTGCCAGCGTGGTAAAGGCTTGGCAACGTCGTCCAGTGCCACAATTTTTTGCTCCGTTGCCACCAAACAGCCGTCACCACGCATTTGTTCGGCAGTATAACCACAGCGTGCGATGGTGTGGCCAAGCGTGCCATAATAAAAGAACTGAAGTTGCCGACCTACCGCCGGATGCTTTATGACGATCATAATGCCAAACCAGTCGAGCCTCATGGTTCCCCGAAAGAACTCCGGACAGCCGGACAGTCGAAAAGTAAGCTTCCAGGCGTTCGAGGTTCGGGAATCCGGTGTGTACGTATTTATTTGATCCAGGGCATGTGCCGCATGACTGTGCTTGCTAATGAATGCATGCAGAAATTTTACAGAAGGCCGCAAATCGTGATACGTTTAAAAAGGAGTAATTCATTATCCATGTTGCGATGTCGCGACTTATTAATTATCAGTGTTTTGGTCCCACTCCGACCGCGCGGACTTTCCGTGTTTACTGTGCAGCCAATACACCATGCGCTTGTACGGTAACACTGTCAATCGAAACTTTTGCGCTGTTGCACGATCGAAAAAGAAGAGATGAATGGAGTTTGAGACCTCATCATAACTCATCGTCTTCATTTTACGAAGAAGATCGCGCAGGAGTTGCAGGTTTACGTGCGTGCTCTCAGCTGCTGCCAAGATGTCCTCCTTAATCGCCTGCGTGCGGCGCGGCTGGTCGGCACGGATAATCTACTGCTGAGCCGATAGGCTTAATTCCCCTTCAACCTCCGCCTGGAAAGTGCTGTAGAATCGGAGAAGGTATGAGTGATTAAATATACTGGCCAGAAATGGGGGAAGTCGTCGACCCACGATATCTCCTTCCGCCAGTCCCTGGATAATTTTCCATTCATCCTCAGTGCCGTCTCGTAACTGCCGCGTGTCCACTTATCCACGCTTCTACGCGCAGATTGATCTCGGACGGACGCGCTAAGGAGGGTATTTCGCTAAGTTGAACATGTAATACGCATACTTCGCCGCTACCACCGTAAGTGTTGGCCCTCTGTGGGAATTTGGTTCGCTGAAATCTTCGCCGTCTATTCATTGAGTACAGGAAGCTTTTAACAGCGCAATTTACTCTTTAAGCGCTCCAAAACATCACTGAGCATCCATGTGGTGTAGAGGATGTCTGGACTGATGCTTGTAGCATACCGTATCCATTGATGAAGCATGCGGTCAGCTTTAACGCATGCCTATATAAATAAAGTTATGAGCAGCGCATGTTTCCCTGACTGCAATTTCGGGTGTCAAACCTTTTGTGGCGCAAGTTGCTCCAGATCGTCCGGCAGCGCGTTGAAGACATCCGCAAATAGGTGCGCCACAGTAACCTTCAACGCCTCCCGAAATTCCGCACTCTTGGCATCCTTGATCTCGTGAATGAGACAATTATGATTTTCTTCGAGGTTAACGGTGGGAGTGGCTGAGGTGGTATCGTAAATAGATGTCATCTAATGTCCCTGTGGCAGTCTGGACCTGGGCGGCGACTCCGTCCTCGAAGCTCGCCAGAGGGTATACTGCGGCTTCCTGCCACCGGCGCTGCCTCGTGTCCGTCTCCACAACCGTCCCCACACACGTGAGGCTGTGGGCCCTGGGAATATCGCCCCTCGCCTTCATGCTGCGCAGCGTCGTGGGGTGTGTGGGGATTGTCTGTATTTGTCTCCCTGGCTGTGCCTTGTGTGGCCGTGTCCCCAGGCGGATGGGGGCTATAGCTTGATGTCCCGGTCTTTTACGGCCCGGAAATGAAGGAAGGCTCGTTAAGATTGAACCTTCCTGTGTTGTCGCCCCTCCTGGTCGATTGCCTCTGACAGGGCGATTTAAAGAGTGTGGGGCGTCTATAGCAGTTTTTTTATTATGATCGGTTTATTGTGAACTGCTACAAAAAAGCCGATTCTAGCCGAAAATTCCTGCTATAATGGGTTTATGGTACACTGCTGGAGTTGCCAATTAAAACCCACTGGTATCGATGTTAGGGCCGATTTTATTACTCTTAAAAAAAGCCGATGGTTAAGTCCAAGTGTTCTTTTAAATCGACTGGTGTATTCTAAAATGTTATCGAGGGTAGATTAGAACTTTGCCAGGAGTAGACCATTCACTACAAATTTTCGCAGGCTTGCGCTATCATTCTTAGTTTTGTGATGTTGAAGATCTTTAATTGCGATAGCTGTCGCTTTGGACGCCATTTTAGGCTCCATGTCTCATTTCCATACCATAACAGCACTGCTCCCTTCGACCAGATACGTCGGAGAGGTAGCTGCGAGGGCTTTACTTGTTCACATTCCTTATGAGAGCTTATAAATGCTGCAATTTATCTATTTAACCTAGTCAACAAATTTTGACAAATTTTGATGCAGTGAAGCTAGACAGGTCGTTTAGTCAGAGGAATACGTAGTATTGGACGAGCAATGTTAGTTCTAAGAACTAGACTCTATGAGTCAGCAAGCGTAAAGCTTCTGGTACCTTTTCTACGGGACCGAACAATTCAGTGAATTTACAGCACGTGGTGCTCAAGAGTAGCTACCTCAGGAAGATGTTGCACACTCATTACGATCTACGATCAGAGACGCCTCGCAAGGCACGTGTCTTAGACAAGATCAAAAGGGGGACTGAGCTTTAGTTCCGTTTAACTCTATCGACTATCTGTTACGTGATATTACCTAATCGAGGAACTCGTGTCATAAATTAAAATCTTCAAGATCTTGCCTATCTTGTGGATGACACCCGTCAGCCCCTATAAACCGATAAGATATTCTACGTCTATTTCAGTGTGATACCATCTCGTGTGTCTACGACACAGGGTACCAAGTACACTACGATGTGTAATCCTTTACACCTGATGCATCTTCACAAAACTGGAGATCCTAGCCCGCATACCAATGAAGAAGTTCTGTAATTGTGTGTAATAATCCTTCCACGGCGTTGTATAGTTGTAGGTAAACGTTCGTTGTAAGCACGTGGATCGCGAACTTCAAATGTATCATGTACAATTTGATTTCCACCCTCACAAGAACCAAGCGGCGAACAGCGTACAAAAGTACACCGTGTCGTTCAACATTTCACGGTCTATGTGCTACAATTTTAGATTCCTCGCTTAGTCTCTTGCCCAACTTCGCTGACGAGTCGCCCTGGAAGTTGAGCAAAGTACTCGACCTTTGCGTACTTTAACAAAAAACAAAACGGTAGACGAGATTCTGCTTCCGTGGATGTCATCTGGCGGTCAAGCTATCATACGAGTGCTTGCTAAGGTCCGCCACAGTATCCAAACCATCCTACATGAGTACTACGCTCATCATCTGACTACATCAATTACACGTATGAAGTACTTGTGTTATGCTAGACGTTTGCATTTTTCCTTAGTCTTTTTAAGCTGACATGGGCTTCGAAAGAATTCAGTATCATATTTGCATTGCTTGTGCTACGCAGAAACATCACACTTTGTTTTACTGCTGTGGCATTTCAGCAACGAAGGCAAAAAAAGGATAAGCTGTTCAAGACCCATATGTTGCGATATTTGTGCGCTTGATGCCTGTGAAGCGCATCCTGTTTACTGGAGCAGCTCAAAGTTGAATCTCGTAGTACTCGTCCACCGGGACGTGCTTTGCTCCACCGTAGAAGTCGAGCAGAACGATGTTATCAATATCAAGTACATAGGGCAGAAACCCGTGTGTAGATGGCCAGTGCTTCATCTGGGGATGCCTGCAACAACATACAAGTAACAGCAGCAATACGATGAGCACCAACCACAACCAAAACAGCACACACTATCAGCATTCGATAATGCTCAACACACTTGGAGAACAGCGCTTTCTCCGCATCAACACGCTGGGTTCCAGACACTGGCACAATGTGTCCGATCAACGTTAACTTCCAGCACGTGGGGTCTTCAACATCCATCACGCACGCGTGTTTACCCTCTTGAGCCATCGTGAGTGCCACAGACGCCGTTGAGTTTACGCTCAAATCCGCTCCTACAGCATGCAACGAACACACTTGAATTAACATCGTAGCACAGGGTCAGACTTTCCATGTCTTGATTAAGTTCTACACCAACCTGTAGAATCCAGCTGAGTGATGTAGAAGAAGAGCTTGCCCGTTGAGTTTTCCTTCGAGTACCCGATACCATCTACGAAAAACGAGCACGTACTGTCAACCTCTTTCGTTTTGTATTGTTGACCAAACTGCTTCATTTACCCACCGCTGTACGATACTGTATGACCGTACGGGACGCCCCTGAATTGCACTGAGATTGTCGAAATCGTCGCCCACACATTCTTGTGCACCATCTGTCGCGCGTGCCGTGCTGAACTTACACGCGTGTCTCTATTGCGTCATTACATTTAATGCTGTCTTAGTCCAATAGAAAAACTAATGCTTCTGTATATTCGACCCTAACATCTTACAAGTTCATCGCCATGAGTCGAAAAGTAGATGGTGGAAACACATTTGCAACACGGCGGGCGTCGACATGCAGCTGGGCCGACAAGATCCAGTAGAGAGCGATAAACTGATACATAGCTGGCATCTTTGCGTGTGTTTGGTTTGCGCGAGGTCTCTTTCTCCGTACTTCTACGAATCATGTCTTGATCTTTTTCTTCTCCCGGCGAGAATGGACTCGTCCCACATGAGTCGCCTTCGGGTGTGATGAGTGCTTCTAAATGATTGTCGAGTGGTGATACCGTGCACTTTTGTAACTGCTACAATCAAAGAAGGACAGAAATTTGCGAAGTATTTATCGGCAAACGACTAGTATTTGTTCTCATAACCGATTTCGGAGCTACGCCACGTACTTGTAGTGTGTCTCGATCGGATCATGTTGACGCTCAACTTGCTTGGAAATATGCGAGAAACAAAGTATCAGAAAGATGCGCTCAGCTTTGCCGAGACGCTGAACACCGTTAAGCTGCCCGCGCGTTTTTCCACACCGTCTGTCTTTCGCGCGTTTACAGCCATGTAAGTAGTATTTAAAGCACTGCAACGGGGATCGTAGAACCCGTTGCTGACGCGTGTAGCACAAGATATTCTGGCTTTCCAGACACGAGCTTGACAGATTAATGCACCACTAATTGACGACGTGTTGTGTACTTCGTCGTATTGCTGATCGATGCACCAGTAACATCAAAACCATTTTGTTTGATATAATAAATTTACCGCTTACATTGACGAGATGGTGCATCACACTCATACCCGATCCATCTTATTGAGATGTGAGTCGAGGTGGTTGAGGCCGATTACTAGCTCGAAGTCGGCGCAAGCTTAGTGATACCAACGGGATCAAGGGTTACCATGACCTGCTGTTTCAATACGAGCCATCAACCCATCGTCTTAATCAATTTCTCAACTCCTTTATTTGACCACCGGATTTCAGGCACGACTTTGGCCGTATTCCAAAAATAACTGCTCACGACAGCAGCAAAAAATGACGCTTTGTTTTGGATATTGTTATCCACCCACCCAATTTTGCCATCTGTACCCCCCCCCTCTCTGTATACCAATAACCATAAGTCCCATATCGGGAGCCTCAGACTTACTTTTAGAACTGAAATGCACAAACACACGACACAAGGTACGTTGTCGTAATAAGTAGAGCATCTTGTAATGTACGTCACTCATTTATACATCGTTGTCTACTGGAAGTTGTTAGATTCATTCCTTTCCCTTCGTTAAGTAATATTAAATAGCCAATTTCATTTGGTCAATTTTAGTGTAAATACTTCACGTTTAGTGTACCACATAATACGGACCTATCCTGCTTAAACGAGAAGTCACGTGGGTGCACAGACCTCAAGATCGTACCTAATGTGACAGTCGTCCGCAAATTACTCATTTTTGGATCTTACACTACGACATGTTCAGTCAGTACAATTCAATCATTCTGTAATCGCAGTAATCGTGACTCAAGATTAGCTACCTTTTAAACGATCTATCCAAAACTTGCTGAAAATGAGGTGGATGTCGCAGCGGCTCTCAATTTTTGCAGAGGTTTGACAATGACAAAACTATATAGTGATAAAGTCTGTGACTAAATTACGAGTGAATTACTTTTGCGTAGACGCGCATTCTTGCTGTTTAAGACACTCAAACGTGTCTTATAAAAGGAGAATAGAAAAGTGCAGTATCGCGTGGTTTTTATGATACCAGCCAACTAGAAATAATAACCACGCTATGCTACTCATTGTCATGATTTATACGGCCACATTTCTTCGTCGTATGGTATCTAAATCCCTAATTCTGCTGATCTGTTAATGTGCGTGAATGAATTTCATCTACTTTATCGCCAAGACCCCTGTCTCTATTATTTTTTGCTTTCCTCCTTTCCATTCTATCTTATCTATCAGAATACGTTATTTTGTTATCCTTTGAATGTCGTTTAAACATGCGCGTGACCGTATTGTCGTTTTTAAATATTGAAGGTGGTTGCTCTTAAGGGTGCAGTATCATGGCCTTGAAGTACTCTCTATGTATATTATAGTTTGTAGAAATTGCATGCTATATTTGAAAGTAGAAGCTTTGTAACTAATACTCTTATAATTGTAGGCTGATTGTGTACGCAAGAGCGTTGCCTTCATCATTTCCCAAGTGGTATCGCCTTAAGATAATGACAATTGAAAGGGCTGCAAAGCCACCGGGCAATGCCATCTATCTATAACAAAAATTCGGCTTGCGAGGATACCAAAAAAGGCGTCTAATCAAAAACTAAACATATATTGATGACATCTTGTTACTACAGGAGCTCATTTAAAAAAGGAAAAGGGAGTGAATCTGATCAAACAAGTAGTGAATCTTACTATTTTTACCTAGTCTAATTTGTTAGATTCTGTTCGAATTAATTTATGCTTTATGATGTTCTAGTATAAAAACATTTTGCAAAGGGAGTACTCAAGATGCAACTACTGCTGCCGCACACATGGTGTTGTCTATGACGCGTTCTGGAATGCTTACAGTGTTGTTGAAAGATTTATCACATGTGTAAAAGATGCAACAATGACAATGCGCTCGTGATAATGTTCAATTTTGTTTTCATTTTTAGCAGCGTTCTTCTCGTCCCATTAGTACGATCCTGTACCGTAGGCACCAACAAGCATATAGGGCCGTATGTTGTGAGCACCCCAACCTTCTGCCATATTAATTACTCCATGAATGCAACAAATCTACGCATTTTTTTGCATCGACCTTTAGATTTTCCTTCGGATTGACTCGACGCAAAAATCTTCTAAATTAAAAAATTCATGTACAGTGGCCTGTTGAAAAGGGACAACACATCATACGTTACTGTGTACCTTGTGTCGTAGACACACGAGATGGTATCCCACTAAAAGTGATGTAGAATATCTTATCGGTTTATAGGGGCTGACGGGTGTCAGCCACAAGATAGGAAAGATCTTGAAGATATCTATTTTGGACACAATTGCCTCAATTGGGTAATATTAGGATTGAGATATTCGATAGAGTTAAACACGTAACTTAAGATCAGTCCCCCTTTTGATCTTGTCTATGACACGTGCCTTGCGAGGCGTCTCTGATCGTAAATCGTAGTGAGTGTGCAACATCTCCCTGGGACCTACTCTTGAGCACCAAGTGCTGTAGATTCACTGAATTGTTCGGTCCTTTGGAACAGTAATCTTAAGCTTTACGCTTCTTGACTCATAGAGTCTAGTTCTTTGATACTAACATCGCTCTATGAGCACTAAGTCTTCCTCTGACCTATGGAGCTGTTTAGCTATGCTACACCATTGATTACAATATTCTGTCTTCAGGACTGCGAACACAGGGGAACAAATTATCGCCGTAACAGAGCCAATTTACTTCACTCTTGGCAGCGTTCGCGAAAGTTCTGTCTCGTTGTACCACGCGCCATGAACGATGTAAGCATAGGCTGGATCACGTTTGTGGTAGTAGTGTTTACTATCATGTCGATGGCGCCCCAATGTCTAAAATATGCCGTCCCCTTCTTGGAAACTTGCTAGGTTTCGTAGCGGTTAGCTACGCCGCTTAAGTGTAGCCGTCGCTTCCATCTCAGCGATACAAAACGACCAGACGCAATCGAAGACGGTGATGGCGAGCATGAACTACTTGTTTGCATTATGATTCGTGATCTTCGGTTGGAGCTCGTTATGCTTGGTCAGTGTACTCGCAGCCTCGACTTGCAGCCTCACAACTCTCTCCGGAGGCTCTTGCACGCATAAAAAAACGGGGACTTCTACAGACGGTTTAAACGCAGCATTTTCTGCATGAATTAGGCTAGGCTGAATTAGGCACACTTTCGACGGCAGTAGTCGGCGACTTCAATTATCTTCCCTATCTCAGGATGTGCCCCGCGTGCTTCATTGTGAGCCTTAGCATCCAGTACGTCAATTCCGCATTCCGGTATTTAAGCGAACGGTAGATTGGCAACAGCATAGGTGAAGGTGGCAGCAGCAGCAATAGCAATGAAAAAGTGGGAACGGAAGTCAAATATTTTTGATGGTTGAGGCTCGGCAAGGTGTTCTTGTCGGAAAGTGGGTTCGTTAATGTGTTCCACTTTCCGGAGCCGAAGCTGGGGGTCACGCCAGGATCTGTTGCAAGGGTAAGGGTAGAATTCGCAGGCGATTGCACTATCTGTGAGAGTAGTAAGTGACTCACTCCGTAATGATCTACAGATACCTCAACCCTCAATTTGTTTATACATATTCAAACAAGTTGTGAGCTTTAAGGGCATGCATGATCGTAAGGTTAGTACGGCAGTACGGAGCGCGCTGATGGCCTCGCACCTGAGACCATCAGCACGGTGCGCACGCGGCCCGGCGCCGCGACTACTGAACACTGGTCCCCCGCACCGCAGCACTCAAGAGAGAAAAGCTCGAGTGATAGCCCTATCCCCGAGTACGGGACCACGATGAGCCAGCTGCAGCTTATCACGGAATTGCTGCAGCAACAAGGATGAACAAATGTGTCTCACGGACTCGGTAATCAATCGTTGAGTTTTCCTGCTATGCCTGATTCAAGTGAAACCTTCAAAACTGCCGTTCAGGGCCCACAAACCGTTATTGAAACAGCGCAGGCGGATCCTTTAAAGAATGACGAGCTGATTGAATCCTTCGGGACGGAGTAAAGTCTGCGCAGGGCATATTTCCAAATTTAGCGGCGTCGGGATAAAGCGGAGCAGATAAATCATCTTAAAGCATTTTGTGAGGCGGTGCAGAGGCTTTTTTGTAAGGCCCAGCGCCTCGCACACGAGCGCACAGAAGCCCAGCGGGTCCACGGAGAGGAACGAGCTCTACTGGAAAGCGAGGCTCAGCAGCGAGTTGTAGAATTTACCATAGTAGCACAAGCTATACAAAATGCTAAGAGAGAGCTAGAAAGGGCCGTAGTACGCCAAGTCTAGCAGGAGGTGGGACTGACTCAAGCTCAGCGAGGTATAGAGGTCCAAGCTAGATTAAAAGAGAAGCAGAGAGCCGAGTTTAAGGCGCCAATAATTATGCAAAACACCCGCGCTGAACAGCTTTCAAGGATACAGGTAAGAGTGCACCCACTGATCGTGTTGGT